CCAGGTGTTCAGAGAAAAGGTGATGGTAAATCACYCTGTACCTGTGCTAGAGAATGCCAGGCAAACTTACAGAAACATGACTAGTCATTTACTTGAAAAAAACCTGTAACATCTTCTCTGCCATGTGGACAAAGATGGCCCTGAATGAAGAGTTGATATAAAGATGCTATTGASATTTGAACACAAGCCACAGTTCAATGGCAAAATTAGAAAAGCTGYATCCCATGGGTTGCCTCAGGTTGGAGCAGCTGCAGAATTGATGTTGGTCGGTGTCCTACTCTTGGTGCAGATCACTTCAGACAGTTGATGTTTGAGATCACCAACTCAGCAGAAGTGACTGTCACAGAAAGTCTGGCTCTGATTTTCAGATGTAGATTATCAGACAGAAGAAAATATAATTTCGCAATGTTTCATTTCTGCTCTTCAAACAGAATTGGGCAAGCTTAAGAAATATGATGGTAKGGGCTTGCTGATTCAGCATAACTCCAGTTGAGCACCTGTCAGCATTTGTTCTGACAGGAAAGCTGGCTTACCCTTTCARCTGCAGCTGCTTTTGCACATACCCTGCAAAAGCAAACTTCCCTGAAGGTACATGAACCTCTAGCATCTAGAAACAYCTTCCTCCTCTGAATTATTTAAAAAAACACATAAGCTTGAAAATACTTTGCAGAGTATTCACAAGTATTTTCTGTTCCTTTCAAAAGAGTGGCATCTTGGCTACTGTGTGTGACAAACTAATTTTCTTYCCCATCTGTTTCAGCAGCCAGCCCATCCCTACCTCCTGYTCCACCAGCTCTTTCTCCAGCCCCMGYACCCCCCAAGACCTCTGCAGGCACAACTGACCCTGAAGAAGCAACRAGGCTGCTGACTGAAAAGAGGCGCCTTGCCCGTGAGCAGCGAGAGCGGGAGGAGCAAGAAAGGAGAGAGAGAGAAGAGCTTGAAAGGTAATTCCAGGCCTCTGCAGTGGAGAAAATACATTTTTAGCAGCTTCTTGTGTGTATTCTGTTGTTATATTTGAAGCACAGTATTGAAGTGCAGGAGGCACAAGTTCGTCCCCAAAACCATCTTTTCCTGTTGTGCTTTTCAGTTGTTGCAGTATATACCTAAGTAGAATTGTAAGGTTAAAATTTATTCTAAGTGCTTTAAAATAGGACAGGAGGAGAAGGTAGATCCTTGCAGTTGTGATTAATTGTTTCCTCAGAAATTAACAGAATGGTACTTGTTTGTTCCATCTAGAGAACTCTGCATGGCTGTTTTCAGCTTTGCGATTGGCACAACAATCTCTTCCTTTGAGCTGTAAGCTCTCTATCGTGGAGCCTGCTTTAGGTGTCCAGAGGTTGTGATTTAAACCTCTTTGTTTTCTCATTTAAGATAAGACTTCCCCCCACACCCTCCAAACAGTTTTGTAGGGTAGTTGATGTTGCATCTTATTTTCTAAAATCAAATGAGAAGCCCATCTGGATACTTACAACTGTGGGTACAGCACAAGTTGTGGGCGTTTTTAGAGGGCTGCCATGCCTCTGGAATTTGTCTTTAAAAACTTTTCTGATAGGAATAAGGCAGAGCCAGTTAAAATAGCCTGGCTTTCCAAAAGGCTCACAATACTTGCCCTCTCCAAAAGAATTTTAAAGAAAAAGAAACTGCTGTGGCATAAGAGTAATATGGTGAATAAATRCTAAGATTGAAAGATTAAAAAAAAGAAAAAGTAAAGAATAATCAGCTTTCACAGTGAAAGGAATTTCTAGTCTCTGTGAAGTGCCTTCATAAAAGAACTTGAAAGGAGCTGAGGCCACTGAGATGCTGCTGGTCTTCAGTGAGATGAGTCAGTTGAGAAGAGGTTGAGACATCTTACATTGCTGAGATCCACAATGGAAGCTGAATTGCTGTACTGCTAATCATAAAGGAATAGGAATCATGTGTATAGGGAGTAATCCTTATTTGATGCCTTTTGTGATGATCTCTGAGTGAATTATTTCTGAGGGAAGAGATCTTCTTTGGAGTTGAATATATGAAAGTATCAGGTGAGTCATGGTTGACAAAGTAAATGAACTGTTACAAGTTAATAGAAAACAAAAACAAAATTAAAATGTCACTCTGAACTAACCAAGATGAATCTGTATTTTGAATGTTGAGTTTTATATTTTTTGGGATAGTAAAATCAGTAAAACTAGACAAATAAGTGCAGACAAATGTCAAGGAGGATGACAAGTAAAAAAATATTCCCATATGAAAATCTACTGAACAGGTGAGGATTCTTCAGCTGAGAAGACCATGTGCCCTTTATTTCTGAATGGATATTATAGGTTTAAAAGTCCTAAATAATTTGGGAAACATCAAAGGTGAAAAGTTACTCACTCTGTAATACAAGAAGGAGGGACCACTAACAAGGTTAGGAGGTAACCTTCAAAAATCAACAGAATCGGATACTTTTTTAAAATCAAGGAATCACTGTCTTGAGGTGAGATGGATGCCAAAAATGCATACTGTGTCAAAATATGGTTATATGAAATAGTAGAAAGGAGTGCTTTGCAAAATGTATGAATCAAAGATACTATTTCTGGTTCAGAACATGTGCAGGTCATAGATCAGGCAGACGTATGCTGGAGAAGTATTGGTGTTGCATTGCAAAGCTTTTTATACTACATAGGGCTTCATGTTTGGCCCGTATGGGAAGCAGAACAGACAGCAGGTCATCCTTTATCCAGYTGGGATCGCAGTGCTGGCTCAGGAATCTGGTGGTTTGGCTTTCCCCCCTACTTTTATTACCTATTTTTCTTATGCTTTTTTAATGATTGCAGACAAAAGAAAGAAGAGTTGTCACAGAGGATAGCTGAAGAAAGAGCTCGCCGAGAAGAGGAGGAAGCTCGCAGACAAGAAGCAGAGAAACAAAGGAGGGATGCAGAGGAGCGGGAAAAGGAGGAACGGCTGCGCCGCCAGGCAGAAGAGAGAGAGCAGAAGGAGAAAGAAGAGATGGAGCGCATTCAGAAACAAGTATGCTTCCTTCTTGGAATTTCTGGGCCAGTCTAGTTGGCACCTCTTACACAGCACCTAAATTAGAGCAATATCTAAAATTCAAATGCTGTCTGAAAAGTGTTGGGACACAGTTCATTCCATAGAGTAGTTCAAAGAGTAGAGATATTTCTACTTGACAAAAACATGTGGTAGGGAGTTGAGTTTTGGTTTTGGTTTTTTTTTCCCCTCTCCCTTTAAAATGTATATATAACAAATCCTTATTCCTCATAAATTGTGATGAAAAAAATCAATGGAGTTGTACTGGAGAATTTTAATAAATGCTGTTATACAAGGGAATTCTTTGTCCCAACAGTTATAGAAAGTCCAGATGCAAAGATAACTATTCATTGTGTTGGAGATAGAGTAGTGGTGGTTTCCAGTCTTGTGCCAAATAGTGCTTTTGTGTGGGGCTGGTRGGAAGGGGTAGGTTTAATCAAGCCAAGGAGAACCTTTACCTGGTGCAGTCCTCCTGGAATCAGAGTAGCTACTCAAAAGACATAAGAGTAAATAAATGAAAATTAAATTTTTCAATTTGATAGRCATAATGTTGGGTTACTGACTTCAGGACAGGCTCTGGCAAACATTCTGGATAGGATTCTTCTCCTCTCACATGTGCTCTTACTTCTTACATGTGCTTTATTGTTCCATGTTCCTACACTTAAGTTTGCCTTGCAGACATGAAGTTTTCTTCTTGTACATAAATACATGCTTTTGATAATAAATGTTTAAAGGATTGTGTTAGTGAATATGGCTGAGAAACTCCATTATTGTTTTTTAGAAGAGGTGTGCTACTTTCTTTGAAATGTTAAACTGAGCCTTAACTCAGTTTAGCACTCAGAGATAGCACATGGTTAAAGCTTTTTTGGACATTACAGATGCAGCAAATCATCTATTGTAGTAGTTCCATCATACAACAGTGTCACAGTCAGGGAGCAAGGCCCCACTACAGTATATTCCAGACAAATTTTGCCTTTCATTAAGAAAGCAGGAATGGAAAGTTTGTGTAAATGGGCCTGTGGCTGTTTGCCCTTGGTCTCGTTAAACAGTTACTCTCTTGGCCAAACAAAACATTCTACTGCTTTTGTTTTACTCCAACATATCCACCATGCAAAACTTGGATCTCTCGAATACTTTCCTGGCTGTTGTTTTAATGTTGAAGGCTAGGAAATGTATCCTTATTTGTCATGTGGTGTGCTCTAGAATGGGCACAGAACCAAACATGATGTCTTTTGCTTAGTTACACTCCCTTAATGCTGTGCAAAACATGAAGATTGATCAAGAAATGTGCAATTCCATCTGAAAAGATTTTTGGTGACTTGTAAACCCCAAAAGTATCTTTTCAGGGTGTTGCAGATGTGCATAATTAAACATAGAATATAAAACTGTCTTTAAGTAGTAAAATACTCCTAACTTCTGTTTCTTTTACCATCAACACAGAAAGAAGAGGAAGCTCGCCTGCGGGAAGAGGCCGAGCGGATTCGATTAGAACGTGAAAAGCATTTCCAAAGAGAAGAGCAAGAGCGCTTGGAAAGGAAGAAGGTAACTCAGTCCAAGCAGAGAAACTGTGATTGGTTTTGCCTYAGCAGTCTGTTTCCACCTCTGCAGCAGAAGTTGCCCATGATACAAAACTGCTCTCCAAAAAGCCACAGCCCTCACTGGCCTGATGTGACAATGAAAGGCATATTGCCAACAATAATAAATAATTCCTCTTTTTTTCAATAATCAGATATAGCTGATAAATGACAAGCAGTTTTGGTTTGGGAGAAAGATATTCTAATTAATGCCAGCAAACATTATTTACCCCTTTACATTTCATTKTAGAGGCTTGAGGAGATCATGAAGAGAACTAGGCGTGTAGAACCTGTAGATAAGGTCAGTGCTGCTACTTACCATGTGTTAATATTGAACACATTTGACTTCTTTTCCCTAGTGTCTACTTTTTAATTTACAAAACTGTCCTTTCCTTTGTAGAAATCCARTGACCAGCACAATGGACATATATCAAAGGCAAATATTACTGGAGAAGCAGGTATTGTGTTTTAACTGTGCCCTGAGCACAACAGGTGAATAAATGCCTACTGAGCACAATGACTTGAGAAACTGTTCTGAAACTTGGCACACGATTTGTGGTAAACAAAAGCATGAGAAGAGTATAACTAAAATCTCAACAGACATTATTTATTTAGCCTTTCAGTATAGGTAGTTAGCCATTACTAAATGAGTCCAATGTTTTAACAACTTAGTCACATTGGTGTTTAGCAAGAGGAATTTGCTTAACAAGTTTAATTATTTATAAAGTGAAATTATTTTGTGATTTGKATCACAAAATAAACTGATTCTATAGTTTCTTTCTTACATTATTTCACATGTGGTTGTTGCAGATTTACTACATTTTCTTAAAAGGATATTTCTTCTTAGTCATCAAAATAAGGTGTTCATTGTTCTAAACATCTCCCTGTGACTTCTTTCTTCCACATGCTGCCTTATTCACTCCATCCTTTTTTCTTTATTTGACAAAATTGAGCTACTAGAAAAGCTTGGTCTTCTTGTCACACCTGTGCTCTTATGCTTCCTTCTACTCCAGTCTCTATTTTTCTTTCTTCTTAGGTAATCTTCTATATAAAACTTTAATACTTATACTAAAGGAAGAAAAAAAAAATGTAACTTTTGTTAAAAAATTGCCAGGTGTGAATTAGCACTGTTTAAAGATACTGCAATCAATCTATAAAATGGCTTATCCTATTGGAGCATAACATATTCAACAACATTAATCTTTTTCTCCTTTCTATATGGGTTGASTAACAAGAAAGACAGCAGCACTGGCTGATGAATTACTTTTGTTCTTGATGTTTAAAATGAACACTATAATTAGCCCCATCTGGAAACTTTTTCAGATTTCATTACATGTGTTTGTTATTTGTTAACATGTTATCTTGGGGAAAAAGTTTGTGAGCTACTAATACAGGASACATCTGGGATGCCTTCTTTGTCTGCAGGTACTGTTGAAGATGTTATAAACCATTTAAATAATTCCTGAAACCATRAAGGGTTCTATAACCTTTGGCTAGTGCTTTCCCTCTAGAGATAGAAGACAAGTAGTTTCTTAAGGCAGAGGAGACTTTGGATCTCCATTTCCCCAGGCCCAAGGGCAGGCTGGCGTCCTTGAGTGACTGAATGAAGAGAAAACTGCTCTCAGCCTTAGGGCTGCTCTACTGTTTGGTTTTGCATTATCTATATATGCCATTGARTCAAAGGTATGGATTAATGGGCATATTCTGTCCATATTGCACTTTAACAGACCTCTGRCTATCCACAAACAGTTTGTTTTAAAATGTTTTTCTTAAGTCTTACTGTTTGCCAAAACCTGAGGAGATCTTTAGGGCAATGCCCAAGTCACACTATGAAAAATGTCCCTCACCTTTTCATCATTTGTTTGGCCTCTGCTTCAAAACAGGAGATTGTGTTGCATTTCCAAAGCAGAACAACTTTTTCTTCTGCTTTTTYCTTTTAAATGTTAAAGCAAATATATCTTCCTGTTATTCCATTTTTAGAAGCACAGAAAGCTGCTTCTAGTATCTTCCATATAAAAACTTGCCAAAGATCGGACTTAGACATTCAGTAGAGAAGTTTTCAGCCCAGTTATTGAGAGTACAGTGAAACAGAGTGGCTGAAGGAGGGGCTTATTGGGTGAGGTTTTGGGTAATAAAGGTAAATGTGTCCAAGCCTATGAATACTGAATTGTCCTTGCAATTACTGTAGCAGATGTTAGCATGGGTGGGGTGCAGTTGCTTTATTTTACTGACCTGTATATGAATTAGAGCAACTCTAGATACAATGCAGAAGGCTGTAGTTGTACTTTAAGAGAAAAACAGAAGGCAAGCCAGTATCGTGTGTCATGTGGTCTTGGCATGAGGGACACAGATTACCTAATCTTCTGTTGCTCTCTGCCATGTTTTAGAGTGGTAATTTGGTACTTATTGAAAGAAGTATCCTTCCCAATGGAGAGGGTTTTTTTTTTTTTTTCCTTGATTTCCTTTTGAGTTACTGGAATCTGGAAATACCAGAGTATGGAATTAATGATGCCCCAGTGTTGTTCTATTCTATTSTATTCTCTATTGCTACTTCAAAAGTGCCAGCATAATCTTCTATCAGATATCAGCCTCTATTGCCCACTGCCTTATGTGTTGGAATTGTGCATATGATGATAAAATGTTTATTCTTGATTACAAAGCTATGGCTTCGAAATCTGTGACATTTACTTTGGACCTGAAACAGGGTTTGTGTGCCCAAAAAACAACAAAAGAGATGGGGTTGGGTAGAGAGAGAGAGAGAGAGGTGTGGGAGCTATGGATTTTTTAAAACTGCAACTTGCCTCAGCTATGCTGGCTTTTGTAGAAAATATTTTACCCTAATTACAGGGTAGATGATGCTGCTTGGTTTGATGAAAACCTGTTTTCTCTATCCAGTGGCAGCCAGTCCTGCATCTCCCTTGGAGCCTGCATCTCCCTTGGAGCCTACATGTCCCTTGGAGCCCACAGCAGAGCCTCAGCTCCAGCGTGCAGTGTCACCTCCGCACAATGGGACTCCGGCCGCCTGCACACGCGTGGTGGTTCCACACCAGACCCCCATAAATGTGGACAGGTAAAACATTGCCAAGTGTTTGGAAGATGAGGGCTACCAGAGTAATAAATTATATTYAGAATATAATAATAAATTATMATTTATAACTATATAATAAATTATATTCTGAATATAATAATTTATGTGTTCCCTAACTAAGAGGCAATTGTTCAATCTGCCTTGTTTCCTGTTTCTTTTATCTTTTCCAATGTTCAGAAAAGAACATCATATTTCAAATAGCAGTAACCAATTTTTGCTAACTGATAGAGATTTTTTTTTTAACAGAGCATGATCTCTGCAGTGTTTGGAACTATTTGTGTTTGCCAGCAATTAATACATTTATCAAAATTTAATGGAAAGGGAATTTTTTTCTGTTCCTTTCCATGAATTAAGCTTCATAAAACCCACTCGGGACTTGCACTGCTAATTTTCTTAATTGGAATAATGAATACTSTGCTTTCAGCCTTGATGTTTTGATTTCTTAACTGCTTGAAGTATTAGCAAATGTTGTTGTAGATATATCCTTGGTGTGAGATATGCTTATGCATTCAAAAGAACCACCTTTGTTCCTCATAAGGAGTATTTGGGGAGGCAGATATTATACACTGGGAGCTCTCTGTAGCTATGAAGCAAGTCACTCAGACTTTCAGAAATTGTTGAAACACTTGAAACCTCRGTATTGAACCAAGTGACATCTGTTACATAAGCATGAGCTGTCAGTTATTTTAATTTTAGCAATGCAGAAAGCCAAATAATCTCGCAGTCCTTTCATGTTTTATGCAGGTATTGCCAGAATACGCATGGAAAAACTAGAATGTGGGAAGCCATTGTGCAGTCTGTAATGGACAGTGTGCTTCAGGGTGTGATTGGCACTAATTGAAGGAGGAATTTGCCCTCTCTTCATCCCTCCAAATGTCTGGGGGATTTTAGCCTGCTGTCATGCTGACAAGGATSCTCCTGCTGAGAGAAGTTCTGTCAGTGACACTGAGCTGCATTGGATGAGCTGCACGGCGCTGCCTTATAATTGTCTTGGGCAGCTATTAAAATGTTAATCACTCCCAGCTTTACAAGCACCTTCATGTTTGAAATATAAMATGTGCCACACTAATGAGTGCTGTCCTGTACCATTATAATCTGTGTGGAAGGAACCTCAGAATGCCCACAGTGAAGAATAAATAAATGAGATTAAAGAATACTGACAAAAGTAGGAAGTGCATATAAGGTCGTGGAAGGGAAAACTGGCATGCCAGGTTGGAATGTGTCTGCTTCAGAGGTATATCCAAGTGACTGGAAAGGTGAAGCTGAAGCACTTGGTAGTGTCCTATAGATTTTGTCACATGGTAAAAGCCACAGGTGTCAACACCAATGCTGCTGCACCTCATGTGCTCTGGTTGTCTGGCATCCAGGCACACTGACATGGTAGCACACACTGGGGCAATGRGTGCAGGCTGTTTCTTGAGTGAGCACCTCACTCCAGCCCTCAGCAAGATTTGGCTGTTGTCTGAAAAACACTTCATCGTGTCTTAAGGGCAAGACTGCTGAGATGTCTGAGCAGAAGCTAAAAGGTTTTACCTGAGGGATTTGTGTCRTGTATGGGCGGGAGGATGGAGTGATTCAGGAGAGTCTTCCTAAGGCAGTATCCATAGAGTATCCATAGTTGGGTCCATCCCAGACTGTGCAGCAGCTCTGTCCCTTGCACTGGTAGTGCTGAAGAAGGATGGCTTGTATGGTGAAGGTTTGTGTGGCAATAAAGGAGTGCTGCTCTGGGGCATCCATAGGATATTGCCTGACTGCCTGTTGTYCTGAGCTTTCATCCTTGTTCCTCCCCATCATGCCATCCATCCTGTGTCAGCTCTATGACTGGGATTAAGCTTGAAATAACAGCTTGTTTCCATGGTCATCAGTGAAATGCAACAGAGGGCATCTTAAAACATTCTGGCAGAGAGAAGACAATGGATTTCAGTATTCTCTGGGGCTACTTCTGATCAGCAGTACAGATCTTGCTGTCATGGAACATCACTCTTTTTCCAAAACAATTGATCTTCATAWTGAAAATGCTTGGCTGCTGCATTATTTACCATATATCTGTTGTCAACAATTATTAGTTTTACTGATAAATGATAGATTTTATTGCAAATAATAGATCAGTGCAATCATTTTTCCTACATAACAGTTTGTTCAAATACTTCTTGGTATTCCGACTTCTGTGTTTTAAACAAACRAATCTTAATCAATTTTTCCTAGGCTTAAAGCTTTTTCACTTAGTATTGAGAAAGAAAAAAGCCCAGATGTATTTGCTTGTGAACTGAACTAGTTTACCATGTTAGTACTCAAGGTTTCCAAATAGATCTTACATAAATTCTTGGTTCATAGAAACAGTTTCTTTTTCCATAATCTTCTGAATTAAAATGAGTGTSTGAATATTAACATAATTTTTGGGGTATGGTAGCTTCAAGTGGTGCTGCAAGGATTCTGATTYTGCTGCCTATGCTTGCTCTGAGTGTCTTCTCCACAAGTAAATTTGGTTAAACAATTTGATGCCCAAATGGTAATGAAGAATAGTGCATATTATAGGGAAAKGGTGGGAAGGTAGCAACCTTAAATCTAATGTGGAAGTCTGTGGTAAGACYACTCACTGTTTAACTTATTTCTCATCCAGGTGTAGTACGAAGAGCAACACTAAACATATTTAAAAGTGGAACGATCCCAAGAAAATTTTCCAGTTGCATCCTAAAGTATCTAGAATTACCACAAAATCTGACAGTTCATGGATACTATGAGTTTATGAAAGGCATGTCAGCTTCTGGCTACATTCTGGGTTTTGGTTGGGTTTTTTTCAACAAATGGAAAAATTAATGGAACCAGTAATTTGCAAAACAGATATGATGTTTAAGCATTTTCAACTTTTTTTAGTCTATTGTAAGATTCCAAAAAGATTTTTTTCCAGAATCAAATTTCTTCTTACTGAACAGTAAAATCCTGGAGGAAGCCTAATAGTAGGAGTTTGAATTGGACAACCTACAGCTGCCTAATCCATAGCCCACWTGCAGATTTTTGCTTGTACTCCATTTTCTAATTCCTTGCCCAAGATAGATCATGTCTGCTACTTCTTAGAAAAAGTTCTTTCAGTACAGTGGCTTATGTTGATAGTACTTTCCTTATGGTACTTACTCTGTAATTCTTCTTTTCTGTGCCATTTTCCACAAACACTTGCAATGCAGGTGCAGAGTGCCTCAATGAGTGCAGTTCATTTCCTGTGTCTCCATACTGTGTGCGTGGATCTGAGTAGATTGGAGAATAGCTTTTAGAAATATACTGTTGGTCTGGGTGATTTCCTTCCTGTCTTGCCCTGGAAAAGAAAGCTTCTCATCTCTATCTGGWTTCAGTGCTGTTGTCTCAGGGGACAACACCTAAAAATAAGCACCATTTATTTAAATCATCCAAAAGTCCGGGGTTCATTTTGCTGTTAATTTCTATCTATGTCTTCTCTGCAAAAATCCTCTCAATAAATGAGGCAACTGACAATGTCCTTCAGATCAGAAATAGCAGCTGTGGAAATATTTTGGCATTTTTCAAAGGCCTGGAAATCTGTATGTTATTTTTTCTTATTCAGAGTTGATTTCCAATGAATGATCGGAAACAGATATACTGAATTCTGGCCTTCTTTCCTTATTTTTTACTCGCTTCACATTGTAATTTCAGTCTGTGTCTATACAGAGTTTTGGCTAAAATTATCTACAAGAGATATAATTTTCAGTAATTTTATTTTTTTTGGATGTTCCAGTTCCTTTCATTAAACTGGCTTCTCTTTTCTCAGCATCTTCCAGTCTATCTTCTTAATACTGATGTGTCCAGGTCAAAATGTGAAGCTGCAGAGATGCTTTTCAGCTGCCATGGAGATGTCCTTCAGATGCTTGAGAGACTGTTATGTTTGGAAATGCTCTCTGAACAACTCAGGCAACTTTTCTTTTTTCTCTGTTACATAAGTGTCTTGCTACAAGCCCGCTTACGGAATATGCTAGAATGCCAAAATTATCCAATTCTTTCTGCTGAATTGCACGCTGAAAAGGATATCTCTGGTGTTGCATTGGACACTGAGTCAGTATTAAGACTGTAACATAAGACAGCAAGAACAACTGTAGCCGGTCAAAAACATGTCCTTCATTTTTTTGTGTTCTTGCTTTAATGGCCTGTAGCACAGTGTAAAGGACAAAAAAAAAAAAAGGTAATTACCAGGAGATGCTTTGGCCAATGAAGGGTTGCTAAGCATTGTGGTCCAAATGTAACCATAGGCTCAAGTAGTCCCTAAGCTGCTAATTACCAGAAGCTGGAGGGCATACCAATCTCCTAGGAATTTATCTAATCTTCTTTTGAGCTTGTGGCCTCTAAGATGCCCAGTGGAAATTAATTCCACAGTTCCATTTTCTCCTTTGTTTTGTCTAAATATGCTCCTCTAGTAATTTGGTGGATCAAGTAGCATAGAATCTAGAAGATTTCATACCAAAAAATTTAAAATACTTATAGTCCTGATTTCCTTTTCTGTACCCCCTTTGTGATTGTAGAGACTCCTCTGTCTCAAAAAACATTGTTCAAGTCTGAATGAGTCCTGGTCTAACTGTGAGCGTAATACTGGCAGTGCAATGACRAATAAATATGAAACATGAAGAATTATTTATCCATGAAGTCAGCTGRTAAATTGGGTAGAAAAATTCTGTTTGCAGAAGCAAGAGGCTTCTTCATTGCTCCAATGCTTGTTGACCTACTGTGCTGTTTATTTTATGTAAATGAGCAGTTGCACTCTTCCCACCTCTTACCCCATTCATCAAACTTGGCATGTTATCCTAGCTCTGGTATGGTTACTGGCAGTAGATGGGGATAAAATAAGTAATAGGATATCTTACAGTGAATAATAACCTAATAAGTGAACATTACAGAGGAGATTTTAATAGTCCTAAAGTATTTCACAGATTCTGCTCCTCATCTTACAGATGTACATCTCTGGCACAAAAGGGTGATGTGACTTAGGATCTTTCCCAGGAAGCCAGCAGGGTTTCTCTGTCTGCTCTCAAACTCAGTGCAGTGAAACATTTTTTTTCACTTTGGAATTTGCTCAGCATGTCCACAGATGAAAAAAAAAAAAAAGGGGGAGTGCCTTTCTGAAAAAGAACTGGTAATGGTTTGAAAAACTGGGAAGGCTTGATATGAACACCAGCATGTGGTTCTCACAGGAAATCTGGACTTTGGATAAAGCATTGCCACTTTCAAAAGAGCAATATTTATTTTATGTCTCTTGGAGACTACTGTAAAACAATTCTTTAATTGTTTGTGCCAGGTTGTACACCCAGAGAAGCCAGCAAATGAAAATACACTGTATGCCAATTAAAAGCAGAGATCTTTTTAAAACTGGTAAATGTGCTGTCAGGAGAAAATTAGCCTGTGAAACCAAGTCACCTGCTGAGAAATGGCCTGAGGAARTTGACAGCCAAGTTCCAATCTAGGAAAATTGCATCTGAGCCTTTGTGGCTGAAATATTTCCAAACAATCTGAACAGTTGTAATGTGATCCCAATAGGGAATAGGAACCCAAGACTGTCAGAATCTAACTGYTGAGGGCCTAAAGAAGCACCTGTGAAAGATCACAAGATTTCTGAGTGTTGGTTGAGTACTTGCTCTTGCTTGAGGAGTTTATGGTCCCATTACTGTTCAGTGAAGTAGCACCTTAGTGTGTCCCCTCTGGCAGGATAGGACATGCCATCTGCAGAGTCAGAAGGGTTTGGCAATGCAACATCTAATAAAAGGGTTGGGAGAGGAGAACAAGGCTGTGAGACCTGAGCGAGTATGATCAAAGGAGAGCACATGTAATTGCRGAGTGGCTGTGCTTGGGCTGCTCTCGACAGGAGGAGATGTACAAGAGCTCACTCATAAGGTGTCTCTGTCATGAGGGAGATGGAAAACAAAAGTGCAGATTGATGTGAGGGGTTCTGGGAGAGGGTTCTTTTGGCTTGGACATGATCAACAGGAGAAGTGTGGAGCTGGGKAGTGCCTTGGAAATAAACCCTAAGAGCTTGTATGGAAGGAGGGACTGAAAGGAGCACTACMTTGATGAGGAAGCTTTTTTTCTGGGTAAGTGGCATAAAGAAGAGGCTGCTCCCGAACTGATGGCAGGAGGTGATCTGAGAAATAATAAAAACGACAGTGATTTTATCCAAGGGAAATTACATTGATTTGCAATAAGAGGAAGGGTAYAACAAAGGTTATGAGATCTGAAAAAGGTGTTAGAGGCTGTAAGTTGCATGATGTGTATGGTTCCAGATAGTGGTGGTGCTGCAGGAGTTTCCTCACCCCTTCCCTCTCCAGWCCCTTCTCAGATTCCAGTGCCCCTGCAACACCCTCTACCTCTGGCTATCACGTAACCAAAGTTCCCATGTGTTTGAGGGAAGAAATACCTAGTTCTTGAGTGCAAAAATAGTTTTCCTACTGGGGTAGAAGCATAGTTTAGTTTTCACTGACTGAAAGAATGCTTGAGATTGATGCAGACTTTTCTTCCATTTGTAATAATGCTTTGAGCATGACTAAATTTCTGATCTAGATAAAGTATGTAAGGAAAAATTTCTATGTTTCTCTTTTAGCAATCTCAATCCAGAGACAAACGCAAATGAAAATGGAATGTCTATGCAGAATGATAACTTTGAAGAGATCATGAACCTGCCTATTGGTTCTAAACCACCCCGGCTGGATGCKATGAACAATGATGGAAGCAATAGTCCCGAAATTCCTTTGAATCCAATTCTAGCCTTTGAAGATAAGGGGACTCTCTTGCCTCAGGTAGATAGTGTTCAAACACATCAAACAGCAGGTAGGTTTGCAGTGATTCACTAACACCTGTAATCAGATGTAACTGACAGAGGTCCCAGAGCTCTCAATTTTTTATTTCAGTTGATTCATTTCAGCATTTTTAAACCCCACATTGTTTGGAGACAGGAGCACATGTCCTCTTTGTAAAGCTATGCATGCAAAGCTATGCATGCCATACAGATGAAGTGCAAATGGTTGTGAGGCCTTATCTTTTTTTAGTGATGGCTTCTTAGATATACTTTTCTTTCTGCTGCTCTAAGTTRCTTAGAAAGGTTTGCCCTGTGCTTTGAAACAGAAGCAATAGGCAACGGCTGCTTCTCTGAGCTTAGGATCAGCATTTGGGTTCCGGTTTTGCAAGTGCAGTGCTTGACATGCACATGCRGAAGGGGAGCTACTGCTTTTAAAAAACAAYTTTTTWAAATTCTGGATGTACTTTCCTCATTAAAWTTTTGCAGGCATTAATAATGAGGGATGGTTTGCAGGATGCTGGATTTTTCTAAATTATATCATTACTTTTAAAGAATGTTAGGTAAACAAGTACTAATTTAGCAAATTAAAATAGCTAGCACTTTGTTTTTCTGTGGCCTAAAAATGTAAGGAAAATTATCTTAAAGTAAAATAACTGCATAAGCAAATAACATTTTAAAGGAACAATTGCTGCTCTGACCTGTCATTTTTACCTTCTGTTGTAGAAGTGATCTGATTGTTTCTTCTGAAGAACCAAAGGTGATATGAGCATCTCTGCAGTCAGTGGAGTTTCTTCCATGCTATGAAGGAGTGTTTTATTTTTTCTCTCCAGTTTTTTAAAGATTTCTTGAATATCTTTTTTGGAAGGACTTTAGTAAAACCAGCAGAAGAAATGAGGGGAATAGACTTGGATCACCATTCTAATAGCTTTCATCACTAGAAAAATCATGCTTCACGTGCGTTACTTAATATGGCTATTTCCAACAAGCTTTTTTTTGTTAGTAATTGAATATTTCTGCATTCCTTAAGACACAAGACACTGGAATCTGAAAGTAACGGCTGATTTGGGTGGTGGGACTGATTCTTTCTTGTTTTTTTAAAAAAAGGTGGGTGTTGGTTTAAAAGGCATAATTGTAAAATTGGCAAAGAATCTTTTACACTTTGTGGTTCTAATACTTGAAAAATAAATGCCTCATTGCTCTACAAGTAGAGTTAATGGGGTGTTTTATTTAAACCTGTTGGTTTAAATGTTATTGCAGAGAACTCTAATTATGGGGGCAAACTATAGGCTTCTGTATCAGGTTCTTGTAAATGTAATTCCTACAGGGACATTCTGTAAATTGAGACGTCACTATGATCTTCTCACATTTTCTCTAAAAACACAAAACAAGGCAGGTTTTAAAATGTGAAAATTTGAGAGCGTTATTTTTTCATGGACAAGAGGAAAACCTATTGTTCTCCTAGATTATGTATTTATGACTTTTGCTCAGTACAGAAATAAATCATTTAATTGAATAAATTAGACAAATGTGGTAAAAAGATACTGCAAACTTGATTTTTTTTTTAGTTACATCCATGTTCACAACACTATAGAAGATGTGTGTGCATATGTGTACACACATGTGCACACACACACATACAAGGAAATTCCTTAAGTCCTGTAAATTGCTGCTGTTCCCAAAAAATGGAATACTTTTCCTTTGCCTTATCAGACTACTGAAGACTGTGTGAAACCTGGGATATTTGAGGTTTGGATGATGATGCAGGTTTGGCRATTTTTGGGTTTGCTCGTTTCAGAGCAAGTGGAAAATGATCATTGTGCTTTTTATGTAGTGTGTGGTTTTTATAAAGCAGTGCAGTTTGAGTGATAAGAGGAGCGATGCAGGTTGCTTTCTCTTTAGTTTGATGCTGATTTCTACTGTCATTCATTGTTCCATCCCACACTTTTGGTTACTGTTGTGCAGAACTGTAAAATCTTGCACGTTTTTGTGCTTTGCTAAATAATGCTGTTGGAGGCAGAGCTTGCTCAGGGTGTTTGAGTTTGGAGCATCACCGAAAGCTTAAGGCATTGCTTTCTGAATCAGTGACTGGGGAAATGGAGGTTCATGGGCTCTCAGCTCCTGCTAACAGAGAATGTACCATTAAGATTCCTGACTTGTCTTTAGTGAGCGCTGAGTGAGGCCTCTAGGAAACTGTGCAGAAAGTCTGTGCTAGCAGAAGAAATCTTCTGAGACARAAGCCGAAGAATTTTTGAAGAAATTTCTGCTGCTGCCAAGTGTTCATCTTATAGAGGAGATGGGATAAAAGAATGGAAATAAAATGAAAGAGACTTCATCTGCCAGAATATTTATGGAAGGGAAAAACAGCCATTCAGTCAGAGTGCTTTCAATAGTAACTTGTGACACAGTAAAACAAATTGGGTTCCTTTCTTGCTTTCTTTAGTTTTCCATGTACATAGCCACAATATTTTGAAGTGTCCAAAATATGTAGTTTTTCTTTAAAACTATATATAGCATGTAAGTACCAAATAAAATTTGTTTGAAATATTTATTTCTACTTATATTTTCATTTTCTTGCGTAGTTGAAGCAAGAGTCAAWCTCTGAATGGAAAACTCTTCTTGCTATTCCTGGTCTGCTTAAAACTTTGCTTCAGGTTTTCTCTAATTTCTTTACTGAAAARTTGGTACAAAGTCACTTGCAACTAGAAAGAGAACAAAGAAAGAGGYAGTAACATTTAGCTTCAGTTTTAAGTCTTAGGATTCATTTGGGCTCAGGTTTAAATTGTGCTCATTTTGAGCTATATATGATTGGTTATAAATTATGCTGATCTGGTTTTTGTGAGACTTCAGCACACTTCTTCACTGTTTGCAGYAAAAATGGGCCTGCTTCATTTCTCATGTGTATTTTGGGTTTTGCTGAATTTTTTTTACAGGCCTGGATTAAAATCCATTTATCATTACAGTCTGTCCAGGCTGACTTCAAATGAGGGAGAATTTCCTGTTTTAAGGGCCTGACACAAAATAAAAACAAGGGATTTGAGAGTAGAAGTAGGTGTATAATTTTTTTTAATATTTAAGATTGAATTTTAAAATCTTTTGGTTAAGCCTCTTTTAATGCAGGGAAAATAGTTTCTCTTTAGTTGAGTGTTGTTCTTGACAATAAAATATGRTATGGGAGGAAGGCCAGCTCCTCTGCCTTGGTTGGTATTGCAGTTGGTTGTGCTGTTTGTACTGTGAGAGGTAAGGCTGAACTACACCCTGAGGTAGAAGTGGTAGGTGTAGAAGGTGCAGACAGCTGTTCTGAGGGTGTGGAGCAGTAACCTTTCCCAGCAGAGAGCTGTGTGCTTTGGGAAGGCTCAGCTCCATGCTCATGTCTCCACAGCACAACAGCCTTGCTCACAGGGATGGTTCTCACTGAGTTACTTCAGTACATCACAACTGCTGCATTGCTCACCATTAGCTCTGCTTGCCTCATGTCKTTTATCTCCTCATTGCTGATAAAGAATGCTTTGTTATTTTCTTTCTTGCTAAGACATTGAAATAATAATATTTGTGATTAAATACCTAATAATACAGAAACAGGACACATTCTAGTATCARTACTTAATAGTGCACTGTTTTTCTTTTTGGAAACTGGTCAAAAACACCCACAGAGGTGACTTGAAGTCTGAGACTTTTGAATTCTGTTCCTAAGTGTGTAATTCAGTCAATCCTCTGTTTCAGTAAGTCCACCTGCCCAAAGCTGAGCACGTGGTTTGTCAGATTTCAAAACAAAATTCCTGTCATGCATGAATGTTGAAAATACCCTATTGCTTTACCTAAAGTCTCTGTTTACTCTGTACTTTTAATAGGTCTTTTTACTGCACTGAGTGTGGGTTTGGTTGTTTTTACATASRGTTTTTGGTCAGGGAGTGTGTGGGRTGTTGTTTCATTTTGGWTTTTTTTTTCCCCCAAACAGTACTGTTGGAAAGAACTTGCTGATATTAAAAGGATTCATTATCAAAAATGCCTTTCCCAAGTAGTAAAATTAAGCCCAGAGATTTGAGTCACAGTTAAATAAAACACTGAGCTCTTAACTGACAGAATAATTCTTTTAAACTATTTTTTTTAAATCTCACCTTTATTCCATGTTTGTAACCAGTAGCAGCTCTAAAGCTTTACATGCACAYAAGAGTTATAACATGGTCAGAAGCATCTCAAAAGATGTGTTGCTTTTCACTGGGGTAGAGTTAGTTTTGTTCAYAGTAGCTTGAAGGGGGCTGTGTTTGGGGTTTGTGCTGAACACRGGGTTGGTAACAACACGGGGATGTTTCAGTTACTGCTCAGCACGGTCTGCCTCACACCTCCCCACCAGCCTGGGGTTGCACAAGAAGTTTGGGGGCGGGACACAGCTGGGACAGGTGAGCCCAGCTGACCAAAGGGACATTCCACATCTTACGTTGTCATGCTTGGCATACAAAGCTGAGGGAAGGAGGAGGAAAGGGGGRATGTTTGGAGTTACAATGTGTGTCTTCCCAAGTTACCATTACACACGTGATAGAACCTGGCTTTCCTGGAKATAGCTGAACATCTGCCTGACCATGGGAAGTATACATGTAAGAAAATTAGTTGAATTTAAACACATGACTACCTTTATTGTTCTTTAACTCCTTTTTGAAAYGAAGTATTAATATCAAAATATAACAAAAATTACTAATTTTGCCAAATATTTTCAGTCTTCCCTTGTTGCAAGTAAGCTTTGGAAATAATTTTAACATTTGCAGAACAAAGAGTTCTGTACTTAAACGCATCTCACCCAAATAATTTGTGTTTCCTGCTGTGATYTGTACTTGCTCTGTGCAACATCTCCTTGCCTTAATGTGCCTTTGCTCTTCTGCTGGAAAGCAGTGCCTATAGTGTGGACAACGGTCAGCTGTCAGGCTTGACCCATTSTTGCTGCTTACAAATTTCTTGCACTTTCTGAATTATCCCTCAACAGTTACTTTCTRCTGTAAGCTGTTCATAGTTTTCTACCTTTATAGTATGGATTGATTCAATTGTTTCCTAAAGTCCCTGGGGTGTGCTCTGTAATACAGAATATGGAACAGAAACAAAGTAAAGATGAATGCAGCCACCTGCATATTTGASAGATGCCTCTTCAGTGGAATCAGCCTGTTGCATGAATAAAACCTCATTAATACTAAGCTTTTTTTTTCTGAAGGGGGGTGGCAGGGTGAGGAAACCAAAACCAAACCAGGGAAGGTTAACCAAGCATAACGGGTGTTTTTCAACATAGCCATGCCCTCAAGCACACTAAAGCAGCCAGCTAAAGGGTCCAGGGAATTATGTTTTGACCTGCTCCAATGCTTGTTACCGGGACATCTCTCTTGTATGACGAAACTGCAAGTAGCAGGAAAATTACAGGAACCAATGAAAAGAGTTSTTTCCTCTGGAAGTTCAGGCTCTTGGATCTGGTAAGTTTTCAAAAGCCATTTGGCTTACACATTAACTGTCTTCATGGCACATRGCTACCCTAAGGAGCTCTTGTGTTTCTTCTGTTTGTTGACGGACTTGCTCAAGGAGGTTGGCCATTTGGCTTTTTCTGAATGCTAATGAAAATTCTGGATCTGAAGAGGAATAACAAGTGTTAGGCAGCTGCTGTTTTTCCCTGTCTTCTAATGCAGATGGATAGAAAGCAGGTTTTGTCAGGTTAGATACAGTTGGTTGATGGTTCTTACTACAGGATATAGAGAAGGCTGAACAATAATCTTCTACCACACAAAGCAGATACAAATTCAGTTTTCATGCCTACAGCCATTCAACATTGCTGCTAAATTCTCCTGATCCAGATGTATAAGTCTCAACTGCCAAATTCAGCCTTATGCAGCAGCTGCATATCAAGACATAGCAGGGTTTTGACTGGCTCTACATATGTAAAGATATGTGCTATATACAGTTATTACCACACTRTAACTCTCATCAGTACTCAACTTTTACCCAAAGACAAGAAGATTAACCAAAACCAGAAAAATATTAGGGAATGAACTTTAAAGATTGAAGATGATATGAGACTTCCCAGCCTTAGTATCAGCCTTAGCTAATCATGCAACATCCTTATTTGCTTGTTTTATCAAAATAAAMCAAAATCACATTTGAAAGAATTTTAGGTTGTATCTAGTGCCAAACATTCTTAAGATAAAAGATCTGTACCTGAAGTCCTGTTTCCCTGCTGATCAGAAAGCCTTTAGTTTTAAAGCAAACAAACAAAATCCTCCCATCTTTATTAGGAGATCCTCTTAAAGCACTGCTTTAAAACAGGTGAGTTAACAGCTACCCTTGAGATTATTCTGTTTGCTTAAGTGAGCAGAGTTAGTCCTGAGAGGAGTTTGCACTSTCAATTGTTGGACTCAATGATCTTAGAGGTCTTTTCCAACCCTCACGATTCTGTGATCTCTGTTACAAAGCAGTGCCTGTTTGCTGCCGATGGGTGTAGACAGCCTTGGCAGAGCCCCAGGGGCCCAGCCCAGCAGGAAGGATGTACCTGCTCGTAGTCTGCAGAATGTGGAGATGCCCAGCTGCTGAAAGCGGACTTCTTGGTGCGTAAGAAAATCCTTGAGGTAGGCTTGAATCTCTCCAATGTGATGCTTCCACAAAAGCATCATTTTTTCTGCATAAATGGGAGAACCACTGGACATGAATATGAGCCTTTAAAACACTTTGAAAACTGATTTTTTTAACAACATTTATAAGATCAGTAATGAATCATCCACCTTCAACTAAAACCAATGTTATTTCAAAGACTGGCAAGGGACTTCCCTCTACTACAGCTTCTGACAATAGTGTTGATACTTCAGGTAAATAAAAAGCTGAGGGGGCTGCTGATTCTCAGACTGGTTGGCCTGTTACGTGAGCCTATCCATGAGGTAATTATGCTGTCCGAATCTGTTCCCTGCCTGTAGCAAATCCTCGGTGCTAGAAATGAAATATTTGCATTTTCCCTTRTTGGGGCCTTACCACAGATTTCACTTTTTCTTACATCTAAGTTGAAAATATAACCATGCCTTTCTAAAGAATATAGCAAGAATCATCTGAATACCGTCTTGCAAGACTAAAAGGCTCTCAGCTGCATGGGASCAGTGTATTAAGCATAAAGCTGTTAGTTTTCTACAGGTAAAAATAATGCTCCTTTTATTCTCTCCCARTGAAACTTTAAAAAAATTGGCTATCTTCTTAAAAGCCACTTAATTTTACTGCTCCTGCTAATTTAGTCTGGAATTCTAACTAGACTAGCAGGATTTGGTTCAGTTAAGAGCTTTTCTCTTGGTCATCRGGGAGCAGAGTTAATCTAAAATTCTGGAATGCAACCTCTGCTATCTGTGGGGAATGTCATCACATTTTACATACTGAGAAAGAAGTTCAAACAGAAAGACGTAACCTTGTCTGAAGTGACCCTTGTCTGAAACACGTTCTCTCCCCTGGTGAGGAGTATCTTAATGGTCTCCCACCTTCATCCTTATATTGTTTGCAGGGACCTCTGAATTGGTTATGGCCCAGCCCTGGCAGTACTTGAAGAAGGCAACAASCACATGAATCATACCTTTATCTGTGGTGCACTTTCATCCCTGGGCTTTCTCATGCACTCAAGGACTGTTTTATTTCAAGGGTGACTGTAGGCACTTTGACTCTTAAAAATTTGTAGAGCAGGTAGGGGGGGTGAAAAAAGAATATTGAAGGTTTTTCAGCTTATGACAAGTAAGTCCTTTGGGAAAAGACTGAATTCCATCCAGATAGCCATAAATCACTTTCAAAAAACAGTTAATCCTGTGTGAGTTACCRTGACTGATCATGTGCTGGATGATGGAGGCAGCATGAAAGGATGGCTCAGGATATTCCAGTTGGCCAGCCAGTCTCACCAAGCACTTTGTCAAAGGCTCATCCATCTGCTGGACCATGTGTAACACGGCTCCTTCTGGAAGGCAGAAAGGTAAGAGAGGAGTCTGTAAACAGGAACTCCAGTGTCAAAGAAACAAAGGTGASAGATCTGCCAGAAACCATACTGGCCAAAATAGGGAATCCTTAACRCAACTAAAGAAGCAAAGTAAGTACTGAACTTCATTATTAAGTGTGTTTATGTTGTAAAAAAGGGTCGTGTTCAGAGGTTCTGCTCTCACTAAGGTAAGGCCATGGATTTGATTCATATTTTGTTGGCTTTATGTCCTGCAAGAATGAACCACTTCATGTGCAAGACCCAATCTTGGCCTGTTGGGCTCAGCCTGTCCCACAGCTGCAGGACACCACTTGCAAAATTAAATCTGATGTGTTGCCAGCTGCATGAGCATTACACCAGATACAAGAGATGACTTGTTTGACAATATCCAGTACTGGGGCTTGTTGGGAAAATTTACACTCATCCTTTTGGCCATGCAGAGTGCTGTACCTTTTATGAGTGCCAATGATAAAATCCATGTGCAAAAACTTTCAAGATAAAGAGTTACTTTATATTTTAGTCTTTTGTTTTTTAATATTAGTTTCTGATACGGAAAAATTATTTCACCCTGAGAAACTGGGAAATGTTACAAACAGAAGTAGACAGGCCATAATAAAGTAGTAAAGTTCAGCACAAAGAAAAATTTGGAGTGCAGACAATGGAGACCCTATGTCTTGTCAGTGAATTGGATTTTGTTCTTGAGGCGTACAACTACGCTCCCAATAATTTAAAGGGAAAGACTGGGACTGTGTGTCCAGCTGTGTTCCATCTCCTATCAGAGTTAATAAAGGACATGTGCAYTTCTCTGATTAAGCTGTTGGTGGAGGTTGCTGCCCTACCTTGCTTTGCTAGCTCAGCAAGGCAGGATGTCACGTAAYGAAGGGAATCTTCTTGAGTGTCGGTTGAAAGCATGGTCTGGAGGAGACCTTCAACACATCGGCTCTCAGTGATTCTCTGCCACAAGAGAGAGATTAATGTTTAACACTTCCATTATGGTTTAGTGGTGTCTGGGGGCTTCAGAAGCCCTCCTACTGAGGGCTAAACCATCAGTAATGGAAATGTCTCCTCCCAGATCTACCACAGCCAGGCGACAACACCTTGGATTGTTCAGAGATCATTTGTACTGAGATATATATTTTACAGATTGAGTTGAAATCAAATAGGAGACTTAGCCTGTGCTGACCTGGACTAAAAGCACATGAGACCAAGAAAGGAGTGAGTCGTCTAGAGGTGACTGGTTGCTAGTGAAGGTGAATCACAAAGTCATCAGTCATTTCCCAAAAATGGAAGCTGCTCACAGCTCCGTGAGCTCAGTGTCTATCAACAAAAGGGAATATCTTTCTGTGTGTTCACTCACTTTATGCTGCAGTTTTTTAACTTGCTTCTTAGTGGTTCAAAGTGAATTTGAGACTGCTGCCTTTCAAGCTCCCACACTCTGTCCTGCTGGCATAAAAACAACACTGTTTTTTTCCTCTTGTGCCAAGGACCCTGAAGTGTTTTAGGGAGCRTTCCTTAGAATTGACCATGGAAACCTGGCACTCTGACTCATGTCTGTGTATTCACTTATAAAGTAAGAGCTAGATACTCTCTATATTATAAAGTTTTAAAAAGGTGAAGCAGCTCCCAGATAATAACAGAATAAAGTCTCAGAATTTAAGTACTTCAAAGMAATGACCATATTTGTCAAATTTTAAAAGGATGGTCCATTTTTACTCTTGCTGTGGGCCTTGAGTTTGAGGGAATTTAATTCCCTGCAAAACTTGATTTCACAGCTATTAGACATTTATAAAAYTCTTATCTTAGTGAAAAAACCCACACTTTTCCTTCTGGCTGGTTTAGATCTCTGGAACTAGGAATTGGATCATGAATACTGAGGAAGAAAAAAAGAACTCAGTCTTGAAAAGTGTGCACTAGGAAGTGGGACAAAGCAGAAATGAGGATTTTGGTGGGATTTTTTTCTCAGTATTGATTGGTACTGTTTGATCACAGCACTATTAAAAGGCAAGGAGAAAGGAAKTGCATCTGTGCATATGGATTTTGAATCAAAGTCAGCAAGAGAGATTTTTATAGCATTTTGGCACAACTAATATCTTGCCAAAGAGACAAAATGTACATCAATAGTAGGGTTCTATTTCCCAATGAAGGGCAGCTGAAGCATGAGAGTCAGGAAACAAAGATTCCGTTCAAAACAGGCCTCAGATTTTCCTCARTGGTTCCTTTAATTAGTATGAAATGTCCTTGGTAGAAGAACTTTTTATACCTGTGATACAGTCAAATTAGGTAACCACATCACTCATAGCAAAAATTAGATATTTCTTATTTTAATTAGCTTTTTTTTTTGTATTGTATTGGGAAAATATGAACAAAGCTGCATTTCCTTATGGTCCTTTTATTCACACATGCAATTTTGTGTGAAGTRTATAGCAAATTGGCATTTGTTTAATTACAGAATTTTTTTTTTTAAAGCTGATTTGACATAAACGCAATGGCAATCTCATAGGGTATAGTTCAATGACAAACATTGCGTACCCACCTGTCTGTTTTTGGAAAGGCTTAGGTTTTTGATGATGCAAGCAGTATGTCCAACAATCACAGGGTCTGTTTTATGTGCTGCCAGTAACATCTCCAGGCTCTGCAGTAGCTCAGCACATGCCAGAGTRTCCTGAGAAGAGCAACCAGTATCTCAATTACATCCAGTATGGACAGCACGACACTTTGCAGTGCACTATGGAAAGATARAACTTAACTCTGCAGGAAGAGCATTAGTTTGCCTATTTACTCCAAGGATGTGGCTGTGTCCAGTGCTGCTACTCTCAAGTATGGTCTGACTGGCACTGATTAGAGCACGTGCTATGGAAGGCTGGAGTCTTTAAGGTCCTGTAGTTTATTTTTGTTTCCATTCAATGCCTCACTGAAGTCATTGGTAGTCAGGGGAAGGATGTGGGATCCTGACTGGAAGGAGTGGTGGTCAGGGTAGGTGTCAAAGGCAGAAGTATTTGGTGATGTAGCAGCAGCAGTGTGTCCTTGAGTAGCTCAGCAATTTACCTGGCTACACTAGTGGTTGTATCTTCAGATCAATTTGTTATCAGACACCTCTTTAGTAAACATGGTCTGAACAACATCTTGTTCACACATATTTCTCTGGTGTCTGATGATATTTCAGAGGTACTTTACTGGGTGTCTCTCTCTGAATGTAGTCTTCCTCCARTTCCCAGTAATATTGAATCACAGGATGGCCTGGGTYGGAAGGGACCTTAAACATCATCTAGTTCCAWCCCCAYTGCCATAGGCAGGAAYACCTTCCTCTAGATCAGGTTGCTTAGAGCTCCATCCACTTAGCCTTAAACACTTCCAGGGATGGAACATACACAACTTCTCTGGGCAACCTGTTGCAGTACCTCACTATCCTCACAGTAAGGAATTTCTTTCCTARTATCAAATCTAAACCTATTCTSTTTCAGTTTGAAGCCACTATCTCTTGTCCTGTAATATCAGATCTGAGTCTGGATTACTGCACAGGTAGTTACCTCAATAACAATATGGATTAAGAGGGCACTGCTGTGTGAGAGAAACCTGACCTCAACAGGCATTGGGTTAGGCCTACAGTTAAAATCAAAACATTTCGTCTTGTGAGTGTTTTTACTTTCAGTCTCCTTCCCTTAGAAATTTAAGTTCTTTATGTAGTTCTTCTGTTTATTCACAATTTACCTTATTATTTKTGCTACTTCAAAACTGAGACATATTAGCAAGGRARTTCAATATAAAACAAATCATTGGTCCTATACACAGTTGCAAAAAAGTCACATAATTCTGAAACCTGTGAAATGTCAGGACCACTAAACAGTGTTRAAAGGCAGATGTCTTCAAAAGTTAGTTTAACTTGAATCTTTCTTTTACTTAGGTTAAATTGCAAAAGTGTATCTTATTATCTTTTAATATCAGCTGACATCTTCACTTAGTTCATTTTAAGCGTTGTCAMAACCAGCAATCCTAAAATAAAACATGAAAATAAATGGAAAGGGCAGCGCTCTGCCTAAACATGGGGCATTTAAAGAATCCTATATGCAGACATGCCAGTTMATTTTCCTTCATCTTGTTTTTCTTTCTCTTAAAAGGAAGAAATRGTATAGTTTTAGATAATCATATTAAATTACCATTGATGACTGTTTCCTATGCTTTTGGACCAAGTGTCCCATCAACTACAATACTTGTATTTGATTTGCTACAGCCTGAGAGGAGGAGATTTTCTACGGAGTATAAAGGAACTTTCTAATATATATACTTTCCTGCCAAGCTCTTTTGTTTATTTAGGACCTACATTAGCAAGTGACAGTACTTGAATTTTGCTGAAATTCTTTTTTTGGCTGGAATATGGCTGAGATCCAGATTCTGTTTTCTGGCTCAATCATGCACAGTGCAAGAGAATCACGAGAAAACTGTGAGTAAAAATAGATTGAGTTGTTCAGATGGATATTGATCTAAGTTCTCCCAAGAGCAGAATATTAAAAAAGAAAAAACAGGCAAGGAAAAACATTCCAGCTGCAAGATTGCTTACCATTGCAATGCTGTACTCACACTCMTTACACAGGGATTTCTTGACAGGGTAAATATTATCTCCTGTTTAGTAGTTAGCAAAATGGGAAGGCAAAGTTATTTTGTACCTGGAATGGAGAGTCAGTGGCACCATCTGGAACAGACAGACTTCTGTCATCSTGACTTCCAGATCTTTTGCTCAAAGGAATTTGATTTAAAATCTTTTCTCACAAAGCCTTATTCTTTAGTGTTTCAGGACTGGGCTGTCCTTGAGAAAACTGAATAACACTCCCCCTGCAAGAGGAAAGTTTTCCAGCTCTTGCTGGGAATCCCTGTCAACAGCCTGACCAGGAGATTGCAAAAAAGGGGCTGAAGCAGGGAGAGGAGCTCGTGTAAAGCATTCCTGGGGGTTTGCTTCATGGTAACAAAAGGGCAGACAGATTCTGCCCCATTGTACCCTGGGTAGTATTTGTAATAATTCAAGCATCACTTGACTTGGTTGTAAAGGTTAGCTTTGTTGGGTGGCTTGTTTTCCAACAGTTGTTCCCATGGAGAAGTCCCTCTTTCACTCATGGAGAATTCAGCCTGAGCTAGAGAAAGAATCCTTGAAAAGACTTGAAAAACAGGCCAGAAAAGGCATGGAGATGGGGAGGCAGGATATGAATAGAGAGAGGTCAGCCTCTTCTCAGAGTGCCCAGGGCTCGCTTGCACAAAGCAGCAACATTCAGCAGTCAGGGACAGCCATGTTTGCTCACTAAAACAAATTTAGAGATGTAGATACTTCTCACTGGAGAATAAAGSCTCAAGGGTGATGCTTTGCTTTCCAGCCTCCTGCTGCTGACGCTTTTTCCCTTATGMAGGRTGGGCTGTTTCACCACTGGTGTAAMAAGGCTGAGATCCCAGTGCCTTTGTTCCCACTGACACTGACCACAACTCTTTGGGGCCAAGGGTCTGAAACACCAGTAAAGACAAGTTTCAGGACCGGGGAGAAAAGGATTTGTGGCTACTCTTTGCTAGGRGAACAAAAAATGTGAATGGTGTTTGGAGACAAGAAAAGCAAAAGTGAGTGAGGATCATGTTCCAGCACAATGCCTCATACTGAGTAACACATTTACAGTGCAAATGGCCTCCAACTAACCATGAATTTCAATTGTAAGCTTGTTGAGAGTAAACTGTGTTCTGACTGCAGTTTGAYGAGCAATGAGGATGTTTGGTGCTCATGCAGCCATGGTGCCTTGAGTAGCTCTGTGCTCTGGTTGCTACTTCCCAGGCACTGAGCTCACCCATCTTCTCAATCATTCACAGAGGAAGGAGAGGTGCAATTTTGGTTTGTGTACAGGCAACTGAACTGTAATGCACCAGACTTTCCATATGCAGAGTAAATTTCCCATCAGGCTGAGTGTATTTCAGGCACAAGAAGCACTTAAGGCCACCTGTGGCTACTCATACCCAGTCACTACTGCTTGAAGCAATGTGGCAGGAAAGGTTCTGACATATTTTTCCTCTATGTATGCAACCTCTGACTACCTTAAAWTGTTGTCGTTACCTTAAAACACTTATCAAAAACCTTTCACATCTATGTTCTTCAGAAGTCTTCAATTACTGTAAARAAAAATTACATTAAAATATAATAGTAATTTGTCAGTATTTGCTGCAGTTTATTTCTGGTCAAATTTCTTCATTATTTTCTAGTGTTGCACGGTTAATGGGGGTGTTTACCCTGAACCTGGGCAAAATAATAATTCTGTAACTTAGGACATGAGTATACATGGTCCTAGTGAAAGTCCTAATGAATTAGCTAAAGAGAGCAAAGATTTCAAATTCTGTTAATTCTCCTTGTTGTTTTGATCCTAATTCAATATATGTTAGTATTTTTCAAATGTATTTTGAATAAAATTGTCCATATATGGAAGTAATGTATATTTGCCCTTTATTTCATACTGATGCACTTTAAATGCTTGCTCTAAATTAGCTTCTCTGCTTTTTAGTGTGTGGGCAAGCTCTGTAGCCAAGAAATAACTTTCTTGGTTGCAGTCTCTCACAGCACTGTGTATGTCCTCCCCCTCAAGCATCCATCTGGACATTTATGGCCTGGGGACTAGAGGGAGCTGCAAGGAGTGCAAGGCAGTACCCACATATCCAAGGAATCTGACACCCATCTCCCCCTCTACTCTCTTATTGATCTCTCCTTTGGATCCCATTCATCACAACAGATGGCTCCTCAGGTAGTTAGCGACAGTGCAGTTGCAGTAACCAAAGCCTTGTTATTTTGGGTGGGAGACAGAAGGGTAGGGGAGTCTCCCAGAGTCTATTGGTCATTCTCAATTGCCTGTTTCATAGGCAGTTTTGCCATAACAGAGAGTGTTAACCCAGGTGGTGGCCAGAACTRTTCTTTCCCCTCTGTTTTTGGGAAATGACCTGCCTTACCTGATTGGGTGGGTGCTGGGACAGTATCCAGAGCAGAGCAATGGAGGCACGACGCACATCCACGTTGCCAGAGGCCAGAAGAGAGCACAGCTTGGGCAGGACATTCTCAGCAACCATCTCGACCTGGATGTCTACTGGTGTGGGAAAATGACTGAGGTCAGGGAGGTTCGGAGCACTGCAGAGAGGCATTCAGGCTCTGGCTCAAACAGCTGCTTGTGCCTCAGTGATCAAATTAGAGAGAACCACCCCATSTCCATGGGCTGGGGCAATGCCAGATGTTCATTTATAAAAATAAATTCTCATTTGTTCTGTCTCCTTTTGCTGAAGGATTAATACAGGCTTGATGGCAGAATGTAGGTTTGTGCACCCTCAGTCTGTGTCTAAACTTCAGAAAGAATGAGGGTAATTTTCTGAGTGCATCATTGGCATAAGGCCAGGTAAGAGGGTGGTAACCTCAGCCACACAAGCAGAAAAACCTCCCAATAACCACCAAACTCTCAGAGTTACGGTTAGCCAGGAGCGAGATCAGCCATCCCCTTGAGTTGTTATAACCTGCTTGCCCCTGGGGCCTCAGTGAGTGCATTAAAAGGCAATACCAGAGCAGCCACCAGATGGAGAGGCAGATCCAAAAGCTAAAGCAGACCAGGGAATTTCAAACATGCTAAGGAGCAGCACAGCACTTCCTTCACTCTCAGCTCCTCTATAATTGTGATTGCTTGAAAACTAAGCACCTCTACATTTTCTACATAAATAACTCTACCCTCGAGTCTCGGACTTTAGGATCAAGTGTGTCAGTCCTCTGTCCCCATCTCCTGAATATGTCATAGAAATGAATCTTGGACATTTAATAGGATAGGGTTTTTTTAAGAGGATACCAAATGCTGGGGAGAAAATTATATTTAATATTAGACAGAATCACCCCTTGGAAAAGACAGATCCCCACTCAATAAGCAATTTCAGGAGCATCCTTTCCTCATCAGATTTAATGCTTAGGAAACATGGAATGGAAGAAAATTTAGCAACTCACTAAGGCTCTGTGCATAAGAACACCTCTGCGGCCTTTCTCACTTACTCCAGATACTCCCCTTACTACGTGGGAGATCTAAGACAGATTTAGTTAGGATATGCACTGCAGCTTCCTCTTCCYTTAGTATCCAGTTAAAATGAAAAGAGGGTGTCTCTTTGCTTTTAACAGGAAAGATTCCCAGCCCACTGTGCCCACTCTGAAAGGCAGAGAGAGAAAGAGTGTGGTTTCTTTATCTCCAAGACATTGCTTACCACTGGTAGCCAAATTTCTTAGGCAAACACATGCCTGGCTTGAAATCTGCTTGTACCAAAGAGGAAAAAAAAAAAAAAAAGAAAGAATGAGAAATAGGAGGAAAAAGAGCCATTTCAGTAATGCATGTTCTTGCCTATTGCACATAAAATAAACATGACAATGCTAGCAAGCTATTGCATTTTCTTCAAGAATACATTTTGGCATGTGATTTTTTTGTCAAAGTTTTGATAAATTTTTTTCAACCTTTTAGTATCAGTCATCCTATTGTGGATGAAGAATGTGGTTCAGATGTTGCCTTTATTATAGAATGTCTTATAAGTTATAGGAAAATGAAGGAAAAGAAATTGTCCCATTTGCTTTGCCTTTTTTTCACCTCCCTTCTACACAGAATTTCAAGTTCCACAACTGTGGTTTCTTCAAGTTTCTTTGATGTGGCTTCCAACAAAGCAAAATTTTCAAGGTGTTATTCCTCAAAGCTATATAAGTAAAATTTCTGGACACCAAAAAGAAAGTAGCATAATAGATGTGTCAGACACCTTCTGTCACATACTCAAAGATCAAAGACAGAGCCTGAACAGGACACTTCATAGATGTTGTTTCAAGTTAACAGCATACAGGCCATCCTAGTCTAAAGGAAGCGTCCAGGGCTGCAGAACAACTTTAATGATTTCCCTTTGCTTTCTTCATACACTGACCTTGTAGAACCTACGTATTTTCTAATATAGGTGTCTGTTCTGATGGGAAAGATGCTGCATAGGTACCTGTACAGTGGATGAACAGCATGATGCGAGGCTGAAACTGGAAGTCCAAGTTTATAGCTCTACTTGAATGCTAAGCTTTTCCACAAAGGGAAAGCTACAGCTTTACCTTGTCCACAGAAGAGGACAGGAGAGATATCAGTGTCTGCAGCAGGAATCTGTCACTGGGTCTCAGCAAGGCTTTGTGGTGCTGAACATTGGCTGCCATGTTGCTTAGGGAAGCACAACTGTAATACTGCAAAGAAAGAACCAGGAGAAAATGTAGAGAGAGGAGGTCAGAGTCATGACACATTGAAGAGAATACAAATAAATTGGAGAAATGCTCAGATTTAAAACCAATTAAATTAAAGTGATTTTCCACTTTAAGGGTGTCTATGGAGGAGGCACAACTTGCTGTAGCTACTACAGTAATCCTGTTGGGCTTGTGGTACAAATTCATTAGCACCCTGGCTGTTTGGGAACGTGCTCTGCTGCTGCAGTGACATTGCTGCTGGCACCTAAGTTAGGTCATCCACATCTACTGTATTATATGTTTACATTGATTTACTCAAGCTGGATATAGCTATTGCCCTAGCATGACAAGAGATCACTTCCAAAGGATCTAAACATTAACGCTAGGAAGGATTACATATGTAAGAGTATCTATTACTAGGGAGGTATWATTAAATAAACAGGTTGAGGTACAGAGATGGCAATTTTAAGGTGAATCTCAGAGAAATCTAAAAATGCTTAAACAGTTTGCAGAAAGCAATTCCAGAGCGTCCATCCCTTCAGATATTTAAAAAAAAAAATCTGTATAGAGATAATTAAACTGATGGAGAAAGCAATTCTGTGCTACTCAAAGGACTGAATGAACAAACAAGCAGAGTGTAAGGCTTACAACTCTGATTCACAGTTCATTTACCAGCATACTTTTGCACTAAGACGAGCTCTCTGCTGAGTGTACAGAATCACAAAGAGGTGTCTGTGATAGGCATAAAATAGAAAGATTTACACATATTTACAATAACAAGAAAAGGATATTTGTAATATATATCTTCTCGGACATAATTGCTTAGAGAGGAAGATCAAAGTTAGGATGGAAAAAAAACCAAACCCCAAACCAACAAAAAAAAACCAAAAAACAAAACCCAGAGGAAGAGATCTATTTGCTTGTCTGATGATCTGAAAACACAAGAAGGCAGCCACATAACAACTCTGTGCATGCATTAATGTGTGCTGGCAGACAAGGTTTTGCGTCATAAACTTCCTCCTGTGGAGTTGGACAAATTGGGTCTTTTAATATATGTTATCCGGCTGAGCTGAGTTTCACTAAGATGCTCTCACAAGTTGCTCCACTTCACTAAACAAAGCTTTCCTCCTCTTACCCTTTTCATTTCTGCATACTGTGGTTTGTGCTCTCCTTACAGTCACTATGTTACTGCTTTAAAATTGGACCTTATTTTAGTCATACCTGTACTTCTGAGTCAGGAGATTCCAGCAGCCAGGCAAGAACTGGTAGGGCTCCTTCCTTGCATAGGACTTGTTGGATTTTCTCTGCCATAAAAAAAAAAAGTAAAAGTGTCTTCCCCCTTTCCTCCCTCTCCTCTGGAGGCACCATTCAAAAGGGATGTGCAGAGTCCTTGGGTTCTAGAGAGTGCTGATGTTGTCCAAATATATCCCAGTCAGTGTGAGTGGAGAGTGTATAATTTAGAGCTTGTGTAATGCAGTATTATGCAGATATTTTAGCAGAAATACTAACAGGCTGTCTGATTAAGCTTTTGATGGTTTTATGCTGAAAACTGCTCTGAGAATCTGAATTGTTGGAGAAGCTAAAAAGGCTCAGTATGATCTTCACTAAGATTTCTGTGTCACAAAAATAAACTATTTCAAATATTCTGAAATGTAATAGCCCACTGCATAACTTTTTACTGTTTCCTTGCACAAGACAGAGTTCAGAGATGTTACTCATGACTTTATCATTTACCTCTGTGGAGTAATGGTATCATCTTGGTAGGTGAAATTTAATACTGGTTTACTTCAGAGTTAATTATGGTAGTCTACATGTAATTGCAGAGGACCAAGTACTGCTTCTGATATTCCAGGAGCCTTTAATGTCCTATCCATGATAGATATACTTTGCATATTCCAACACTGAGTCAGTCAGAGTGACTTTAAAAGTTCCCAAAGCTCAACTTTGTTGGATAAGCTTCTGAAATTGCTTTACAGTACACCAAATATGCTACTAACTTTGTAGGGCAGGTTATTTCTTCAACAAATGGGTTTTTTTTCCTATTTCTTTGACTGATTATTTAAGTATTCATACACTATCCCCTTGGAGTTGAAAATCAAGTCTGTTTTGCTACTAGGCAAAAAAGGGCCTGTATCTGCTAAACTTAAATCATCAAGCCATGATATCAACATGAATGCCGTATGCAGAGGAAATAACTTGTTGCTCAGATATGCTTTTATTCTTGCCCCAATCCTTTTGGATTATTTTTCTATCAGTGAGTTTTCTTTCAGCAATTTAGGTAAACCATTAGTGTGAAAATACCTGATTGTGTGAGGTTCAGAATAGCACCAACTGCATTTTGCTGGACTCTGGGATCATAGGACTTGGCAAGTGACAGCAGGGGTGTAACTCCTCTAGCAGCACCAATAGCCTCTCGGTTGGACTCTGGGGAGAAGAATTGGAGGAAGAAAGAAATACTTACTGCCATCTTACTGTAAGACACAAGCAGAACAACTAGCAGGACTAGTTCTTTGGTGTTTCCTTCTCTGATTCCTCTGCAYGCTCAAAGGAAATGGCTAAAAATTCTGAGAGCTTAACAGGAAAGAAACCAACTCATGACTTCTGGATTAGCCATAAATCACAGCGGGTTCAATGCTTTTGGTTTGTGACTAGGATAATTAAAATGTCTTCAAGTCCCCTTGCACAGGTTAAAAAAGTGTCATACTTGCTTTGTACCCTTGGTACATCTGATCAAGCTATTCACAGTCATAACCAAAAACTACATCATTAACTGCAGGTAAGGTTTAATTAATTTAGTAGGGTATATTCAGGGCCAGTTTCTCTCTTTGAATGTCCCTGTGTGACTCACTTGACAGCTACAAACAATGCAGTGGTTTCTGCAGACAGAATTTGATTTAAACACTGGAATTTGGAAAGACACTTCTCCGAATAGTGGTGATTTCTTGCATGGCAATGTACTAAGTTGTACAGTTGTATTCAACATCCTGGCATACCGGGAGAACTCAAAAAAAAGATCTGCAGAACCCCTTAAGACACTTGGATGAAAAACTGGTGAATAAAGTAAAAACTGTAATACTTAACAGTGTAAAATTAACAATATTTATAGACAGTTTAAACAATGGCCAGTCTCTGGAAGTTTGCTGAGAGAAACATGAAGYAGACAAAGCAAAGAAAAAACACAGGTATTTCTGAATGAGATCAAGTCTTCAGATACTAACTAACTTAGAGAGTAATGAGAATAAAGATATCTGGAGCCTATCTAGTGGGGAATTGACATACACAGATTATCCAGGCTATTTATTGAAGTATAATTCAGATAGTACTACTTTAATATTTCAAGGCAAGTAATTTTCTGTCTTCCTATGCATATATACTCAAGTAAGTAGCTTTTATTCTGGAAAAAAAATGAGAAAAGTAATTGTTCTGGGAAGAGTAATGTATTTAAAAATAGCTTTTCCATATGGGAACCTATTATTCTGGTGAAATATTCTAGTCCCTTTCATAGACAAGCCTTTCTGTAATCTAAACTGCCTACATGCTGTTCTTTTGTTTCCCTTGGTAGAAGCAGAAAGTCTTTTGTATGGCTCCAACCGATAGAAACCAGTCTGGTGGGATGCAAAGTACTCAGCTGTGTAAAAAAGAGAGKTAAAAAGATTAAGAATTCAGATATCACTACTTCCTTTATTCTTGTACATAATACACTCCATGAATGTTTGGGAATGTGGAAAAGAACCTTCCATTTGAGAAAAGGGATTACGAACATTTGGACAAAACTTGGGCAGATTTCTTTCTTCTGTCAGATGTTTTAGCTGAACATTTGTTTTGCCAGTTTATGATGATAGCCTGGATGGGAAAATCTATCTCACCAAGATGTGTAACTGTATTACCATCTCTGTAAGAGATGTGGCAGGCTAGATCATGTTTCTCTCCTGGACCATCTGTTTATCTTCAATAAGRCAGTCACTGCAATGATGCCACTGCAACCGTTGATGCCCCTTGGAATGCACTTAGAAGGAAACCATGTGTTCAGATGCTACTCTAAAGTGGGTAAATCAACAAAATGTACTCAAGCTGTATTTGAATAACTCACTAATTTATAAATCCTTTCTTTCCACTCTCTGACATTTGTGTRCCTAAGAATTCCCATCAGAACAACTTTGAATGTGCTTTAAACTCAGTGCATCTTCCTTTTTTTTAGCTTAAAGCAGATGTTCAGGACCCCCTAAATCCTGAAGCTGTGAACCTTTAGTTCTCTTCTGAAGTACTCTGAGTTCTTATCCCAGAACTGATTACTTTCACTCATGGATTGAAAAGCTGCAGATAACTGTAAACATGCATGTGTCCTTTTGCTGCGTGGACAAATGCTAGTGCTGAAACAAACTAACCTTCAAAAAATTTTCATCTGAATGGGTTGGTTTGCTCTTCTTATTTTCAGCTTCCTATTGCAGCATCTTACACATGACTTGCCGTAACACTGCCAAACAATTTCACTCTGTACATAGTCATGCATGCTCRTTGCAGCAGAATAAAGACCATTCTTAGATGCAGAATCTGAGTCTCCTTATAGCCATCTAAGGATCTTCCTAATTTTGTTGTGCTTCCATATTTATCTTTTTGGCAGAAATGGCTTTATTGAAGGATATGAACAGGATACTTTTCTCAAACAGACACTTAAAAATATCAGTCTGTGAGTTAAAATTAAAATAAACCCTGGAGGATTTCATCTTGCTTTAGTCTCATTGCTGTGGTAGCTAAATATAGTCTGAAAAACAAATAAATGGATCCAGCCTTTTAAGTCCTGATTACACTGGGACAGAGATCCTCAACATGACCAAATTCCAGGCAGCAACCCAGCTTATGCACTTGMAGGACCTCTATGTTCAGCTTCAAAAGCTCCTTGAGTGCATAATTTGGAGCACTTGTGCTCTGAAGGACATTGGCACTTAAGGGAGTGTGCAAAGGCGTTAGAAGACCACAGGGAATGAAGGTGGACTGGATCTGGAGCAGTTGAGGGTTTCCTATACTCCAGGTTTAAGGCATCTAGAATGGCAAAAGTGTCTTCAGGASTAAGTAACATCCTTAGGTCCCCAAAGAAGTTGCTTTCTCTGAGGATTGTTTAAACAGAAGAAGGATCACCTCTCTGTAAGTCTTCCGGGGCTTAACTTCACTGACTCTACACAAAGAAAGTCCTTCTTGTGCCAGGTACCTAAAATTTTAGTGATGCCATGCCTAATTGAGGCATTTAAATTAGGCAATTTGCATTCCACACAAAGTAATGTAATATGTAGAATTCTTTATGTGACTGTAATAATATACAGCGCTTAGGAATAAGCTCTTAAGGGAAAAGTGTTTAAAWACCTGACAATAAAACAGAAAGGTTGGATAAAATGCAAATCAGCATTTTCATGTGGTTGGATCCTGCTTGTCTGCTCCCTCTTTGCAACATAAATACTTAAATGAGAAATTAATACTTTCATCATGCTTCTCTCAGCCTTCTGGGACATCAGGYTGCAACTTCCCATGTTGGAGAGGGAAGCTGGCAGAATAAATACTACAGAGAGGGAAATAAATCTTACTCATGACTTTTATACAGCCTTGTACACATTTTGTACTGTAGAACTACAAGTTTGCACAAGGTAGAATAAGACAGTCTAACATGATCATCTTTCTTTTGGTAACTGTGGCTGAGCTTACCTGTCTGGATATCAGGAAAATATTAACATCATGATATGAAATAGGTATAATTAAGTAGAAGGTAGTGACAAATGCAAGTACGTGATGGGTAACAAACTGAAAGCAAGCTGGCAGCAAGTTTTGCTGAATGAGAATGACCACTTGGGAAGAGGCAACACATGGAATTCCATGAGGGTTAATCAGTACTTGTTTTGAACCAGTAAGTTAATACAAAGGTGCAAATGTAGAACTATCAATGCAGTGGGGGACTGAAGTACAAAGTTACAAATAACAGACAAATTAGAAGACTGAAACAATGGAAACAGAATGAAAACTGTACAAAATGCAGGGATATGCACTTGGAATTGTTGTGGTGGAAAGTATCAGCAGAGGAGGAGCAAGACTAAGTGATTAAGTCAGCTGTAGAATGACAACATCACCGTGGCACAATCACCAAACCTGCAAGTGCTACCATGAGATGTACCACAAAATATATTTCCCTACATTCACAATAAAAGACACAGGTGAGATCCCTGCTGAAATACTGAACATTTCTGGTGACTTCTCTTTCAGAAGAGATTAATCCAAAATGGAACTCCTGCCACATTTATCTATATCTTGGGACTGTAACCATGCCTGAGGCCTGTGGTACAGCGCATGCAAATGCTATGTTCCATTCCTGGAACATATAATTTACAGCCAGAAGGACTCTGAAGATGAATGGAGAGCCTCACTTACAAGAGGAGTCTTAGAAGAACTTGGCTTTCTCAGACTAGTAAAATGAAGGAGCCTCATCAGCATAGACATCAGAGAGACAGAACTACTGAAGCAAAAGCCAATGCAGACATTAATTAATATAAGATGGTCATGAATACATTTAGAATGAAAATGTAATCATAAGAGATTGAAGGTCAGGAATACTGAGAAAAATAACTGGAATGTCAAGAGGTTGAATTTAGGATGTGGGAATACCAAAACTTGCTGCTGCATCTTATGACTCTTAAACCAATTGCAAATAGGTTGTTTCATCTTGAAATATAGGGGAAGACTTGAATTAATTCACTGTAGACGATAAAGGCAAAGAACAGCACACTCACCTGAAAGAGCCAAAGTCATGATGCAGGCACAGGAATTACACTGGACAGTGGGATCCTCTGACTCAAGCAGATCCAGAATTGGCTCAAGTAAACCCATTTGGACAACTAATTCTTTGTCAACTATTTATAAATTCAAGGAAAAAAGGACAAATAATAACATAAACAGTTAATGATTTTGTGGAAAGAATACATCATCCATTGACTGGCTTTGGAGATTTAAATTATGATTATACAAAATAGACCTAAGATGGAAATAGCCTGAAAGCCACTCACAGTCCCTAGCTTGGTTTGCTTGATTCCTCTTCATACCCATGAAAGAGTGTAAGAGTTGTTTGGGGATTCTAGACCAGAAGGTCTCAAATAAGGTTAGATTAGTTAATTTTGGCAAGAGCAACTGCAGCTTTCCAATAGATTCACAATTTACTCAGCACTCCCCTCACCCTTTCTTTTTTTTCTGAGTTCTACCCTTGAATTAATAATTTTTTTCTTTGTAAATAGTGACACAGTATTATTTGCAGCAAAATCCTTTWAAAAAAAAAGCAAAGAAAAAGCCCAGGTTTGCTGAAGACTGACCCTGTCTTCTGCTGTTACGGGATTGTGGGATGGAATACTTGTTGAGGCGAAGGTCCCAGGGAGTGCAGCAGTAGATGCAACAATGACTCAATTGATAAGGTGTGGTGTGTTCGTGCCCTGTCTATCAACATAAACTTTGTTGGGAAGCTTTTTGTCTGCATATCACAGATTCTATCTCAAATCTGTTTTCCCCTTTAGTTACAGAAGAAAGTGAATTCTACTGAGCATTTAAACTTTTTTTTCTCTCTGCAAGCAATTTAATCTCCAGTTCATAAATAACCATAAAATGTTAGGTAGTTTATACTCATAGGTAGTTTATTTCTAAGAACTGTATCTGTTGTTTAAAAGGGAAACTGTTGGGCTGTAGATCCAAGAATGAGAATTTCCACACTGGTCTGGGAATAATTTATCAGCCTTTGCACACAGGTGCAAGACCTCTTGCCACATGATATAATCTTGTTGGAGGGATCTGACACATCTTGGTGCTACCAGAAGCTATGTATCTTGCAGTCAGACTCGTTCTATCACAGAAAAAAAAGGAGTCTGGATTTGTGTAGATGTGCCCTCCTTCTGTCTGAGTCTGGCTGAAGAGATACTTCTTCACCTGAAGAAAGATGTGCCATTAATTACTCACGATTTCCTTCCAGCAAGAAGTTTACAAGGGACAAGGAAGACATCTGCTGCACCTCCAGGTCAGCAGAACGTAGTAAGGCATAGAAGGGTTCCAGATGCTCCACAGGCAAGGGGATGTTCACTGCACAAATGAGAGAAAATACCCATGAGTCCCATTGTTCACCACAGTCACATTTTTCTCTCGATGGACTTAAGCCTCAGGTGCTCCCATAGACAGGCTGAGTGGTATTTGCCTTCATTGAAATTCAACTGCTACTAGCAAACTGGGCAAGTTTCCTGAAAGGGTTTTGAATAATCAAATACTTCAAAAACATCATGCGAAGGGAAACAATATGCCTCTTTAGCAAACAAGTCATTCTACCTCACAGCAGATCCTTATGTTGTGGCTACCTGCACTTTTTATCCAACAAAAAACGCATGGGATAAAGCTATCACACCAAGTGACAGAACATTCTCTTTGACATAAATTTAAAATAAACAAATAGATAAATAAATTGAAACCCACTTTTTTGCCTTTTCAATCTAAACTCTTGCTGGAATTTTATTTGGGATATCTAGGCTGACTCCAAACCTTTAACCAATTACCCCAGGAGCCAAGTGCTCCCATAGAATACTTGGAACAAAGAAGAATGTTTCCTTCAAAAATTTTCACTAGAATGTGGCTTCTAGAGCCTTGTTCTCTTTCAAAAATTATATAATATAAAACATTAACTGGTCAATGTCCATTTCTGTTTACCATATTTTGACTGTGCTGCTTTCAGAAGAWTCAGTATACACTGACTCAAAGTATTTTGCATGCTGCTGAGCTTTAGCAAAGTATAGCAATTTCATAAGTAACAGTCTTTTATAATCATGAGAGATAGCTCCTTATAGCAAAACCCAGAACTGACTCTGCCTACATGGCATTGACAGTATTGCCATCTTCCTGGGCAAACAACACAGCATAAAAAAAAAAAAAAAAACAAAAACAAAACAAAACAACAAAAAAAAAAAAACTTGCTTAATGAATCAAAAGGAGTTTCACTGATTTAAATAATACTTTTACGTTATAATTACATGAAAATTATCTAATGCAGTGAGATAACTTACTGTGATGACTCATATGCAAGTAATAAAGGGCAGCCGACTGTTGTAAACCTGGGTTTTCTGAAAAGGATAAGGTCCTCAAGGCTTCCAGAGGGTCCTTTCCAAGCGGAGACATTTCAAAATCTAAAGATGTACAATGACAGCAGAGGCTCAGTTACATCTGAAAAGGGCTAGTTTACAAAATGAAATTAAAATTTACAGCCAACCAAACACATAAGGACTTTTATACTGCAACATAAATCCCATAAATCCCATCTATCTTTATTCATGTTTCCATAAGCAGAAGCAATAGATGAACTGGGAATAACCGGTCCATGGCAACACATCTTGTAAAGCTCACAAAACTAGAGACAGGGAATAAGATAAATTATAACCTTTCGATGCTTTTATGCTAATATAAATGCAGGTGTTCTCATTCTCCCTAAAAGTCTTTATCTTTTTCTGATTCACAGAAGACACTTATTTAAATAAATCTACTGAATGTAGTGTTCTTAGTTATGAACTATAGAAAGAGTATATAATTCTAATTTACTACATCTGAAGTTCACTGTGTTTCCTGTCTTGGGTATTGAAAGAAAGGATTTAAGGGAATAGCAACGTGGACTGCAAATAGGCTTGCCTCAGGCTCAAATTTCTAGCATGAGTCTACCTGTTCTCGAGTGTGATAGCTCCCCTATGAACAAACCAGATGTTCAACAACAGTCATCAAGCAACAGCAGTCATGCTTGACTTCTGTAAGTCATTGTATAATAYAATATGTGGAATGGAACAGCAGAGAGGAAAATGAAAGGGACATTGAACCAATGAACAGAGTGAAAAAGGCAATGTAGCATAGATTGTCTGGCAGACCACACTATTATAAGATATATTTTCAAGGCAATAGATTGAAGCTGTGCATTAATGATTGAAATACATCTATGAAAAATATCTAGCTACTTTATCTCCCACGGGACATAAAATGTTAGGGATGTAAGGGGCATGAGCTTTCATGCCTCAGTGCAAAACACAGCCGACATCTTAAGCCATTAGAAGCTGCTGACATGGCAAGACTAACAAACTCCTACTTTCAGGATTAGGTAACTGAGCTTCACAGATCTAAAGAACAATTTCATTTAATAATTAGTAATACATACAAAAGAAAGGACTTGCCTATGTGTGCCGGGTTTTAGAGAAAAAAAAACCCAAAAAAATCTTCGTGTGGTTTAATTCAGTTTCTTTCACTGAACCTGAATCTATCTGATTCTTCCACATATCTGTGGTTTTGTTTGGGTGTGTGATAAAGCTGAACTCACCCAAAATCTTCACTTGCTTAAAATATCAAAATTTGCTGCCCTGGCTAAGTGATGAGTGTAATGATCAACCATGAAGTCCCTCCTTGCACCCAAATTGTCCAAACACTGTCTCCTTGCTTATTATATTTTGCTCAGAACTGAGGATAGGCCTGCTCTCTGTTGGAATAAAATACACAGGTGAGTGTTAAAGTAAGAGGTATGTGCCTTGGTCCTCTTTGTGAGGTTTTCCTGCCTCCATTTGTCTTGGAAGTAAGATTTGGCCACTCAGAGAATTAACCTTGGTTCTGCTTCTCAGGTGATGTATGTGTCCCGTCATGGACAGTGACACCTCCCTGAAAGCCCTCATTGTCATAGGTGTACTGCTGTCAGAGAAGCTCTAGGCTTCGAGCTGTTACATCCTAACACCCAGGGATCCAAGACAGACTGGACTTTTGAAGATCGAGCTCAGAGAGGAAAGGATCTCTCAAGAAAACATCCACTTAGTCTTTTCAAGTGGCCATTCTGGCTTTCTGTTCATTAGACCTCACCCATCAACTGAGCTGGCATGCTRCCAAGACAGTCTCTTAGAGAGTCAGGAGCATGCTAGCCTTCAGAAGAAAAAGTTCAGCCCCGGAAGATCTCCACTGTGTAACAAACAAGCTGTCTCTAYTCTTGATGTAAACATCAGGATTTAACCAGGGCTGAAGGTGCAACAATCAGCGAACCTTAGCATCACCACAGGCCCCACCACCTTCATTGCATAATGACACCAGCTGAGTGTCATTCACACAACAATCAGTGGCATGGCAATTATTCCAAAGGTTGTTCCATGACAGATCATTTCAAAAAGCATTAACMGTGTCACACCAAGGAAAAAGGTTTCTCCTGGTTTCCCTCACAAGATTGTTTCATGTTCCCAAAAAGGCAAGTAAAGAAACAGTACTTCCACACCTCTCACATGAATGAAATGAGAAAACTATGCAATTTGGTGCAGTAGCTTTAGCCCAAAGGTGCTAAACCTGAAGTAATATACCCAATTAGTTGTGAGACAAAGCAAAACCAAACAAGCAATGACTCCTTATCTTAAGATGAGGACTGCTTTTACATTGGACAACCAACAAAATACACTCATCCAAGATAACTGCAGGAGTGAAACAAAAAATCAAGTTTTCCTATTGATATTGCATCCTAGGATAGGACAAAGAGAACATCACAAATAAAAAAACAGCAACGGGGCAAATAACCTGTAAAGCAAAGGAGATAAAYGAAGAGTTATGGGTCTACTTTGAKTCAAGCAGAATCCCATGACTGTGATTATGCCTGATGTTTGCACAAAAGCRCAGTTGCTTGGAATCCTGAGAGCTCAATGATGCTTGTTCTAGAGTAACCCTGTTCTTCCCCATGTGTACCCCAGACATTTCCAGCACAAATCCAAGTGTTCAGCTAACACAGAGGTGGACAACTGTGCATGTCACACTGTGATCTGCCTGCTCAGAGCTCAGCACTCACGTAGCATCCAGTCATAGCAAAGCCCATGTCCAGTTGTGTGAGTTCCTTTTGACTAACTTCAAAAAAGTAACTTCAATTACTAGAAGGACTCACTTTTATGTAACACATTTATATGGTTATGTATTAACAGTGGTGGCAGAGCAAGAAAGTTACGGACCATTTCTACCTMGATCCAACTGTTGCAGCACTTCAGCCCATGCTTGTCCTGTATACAAAGAGAATGCTCTGCAGCTCTGGCTTTTCCTACATCATCACCAAGCTATTCAATGCCATGCAAGAGCAGATCAGCTAGCAATCTGCTTTCAAGCAACRGTATCAATCTCCTTGCTCTTTCACAATCCTTTAAAAAAGTAAGTCCTCTTACCTGTTTCAATATGCTGCAGAAACTCCTGTGCTGTCACCCACTCATGAGGCTGCAGGATGGGCTTGTACAGCTGTCTGGCTTTAGAGCTGTTCTGTTTTAAACAGGAACATTTGCTTATCAAAGTAAAGCATTCCTTGATGCCTTGCACCAAGTCAGAGGACATCCTCTGAACAAAGCCTATGACGTCTCGCAGGAGCTGCATGCATCGTCCACACAGTTGGCCCATTCTTGTTCCAACAGCAGCACTAAGCAAGAAGAAAATGAAGGAGATGGAAAGAAAGGCTTCTTTTCAATTTGTCCACTTTTTGCACTAGCCTGCCTCCTCACTGTCCTGTCTTAGAGATGTTAGCACCACACCATTTACTGCTGMTGTAAGGCAGACAAGCTTCTGTGTCCAAAAAAGCTACATTTCTGGCTTCTGCAGATCTTCTAGAGTTCATAAATTATTATTTAAAAGCAGTGGACTGAAGACACACTCAAACACCTTCTGTTTGCTTGAAGAAAAAGAAAATTATCTAAACAGGTTTAGTGGAGAACAAATGTAGTTTAGGTCATAGAGCATCCACCAAAACCTTCATGAGGCTCAAAAAGCTCTGAGATAATGGAACATGCAACCTCAGTTTTTGTAAAACAGCTTTCCACATGAAAGGTAGGCACCACCTTGTCTGCATGTGTACAAGCTATAGCTACCAATCAGAGAGAGGAAGATTAAAAAAAAAAAAAAAAAAAAAAAAAAAAGGAAAGAAAAAAAAAAAAAAAAAAAAAAAAAAGCAAGTGAACAGGTTTTTCCAGTTTTTGCTGAAGCACAAACCAGTACAAAGAAACTGTTGGACAAACAACGCATAACTCAGTGGCCTGAGACTTTGCAAATCAGAAAGAATAGAAAATGGGAAAAAAATATAAAGACAGTGGCCAGAAGAATTTATCACTGTTTTCCTCCTGTCAAGCAAGTCCTGCAGAGTGGGCTGGATAAGCTAGCAATGGGAGGATGCATAAATTAGCTGCAGTTTTCATGCAGAAAAAGTTAATAAGTAAGAGGAAAATGATCAGTTCTCCTTTTGCTTAATTCACCAGTCTGGGGTGTGTGCCCACCCTTGGCTGAACAGTTTTACAAATGACCCTGGTTTAATGAATGTAGCATGAAGTGATATTTGCAATATTGAGGTTTACAGCAAAAACTGGTTTGATCACCTTAGTTAGGGATACTGTAGGTACAGGTCTGCTGAATGTTGATCACTTTTATTAACTTMTTATTCATTAATTTGGTGGATTTATTTTAACTGTGGCATTGGTACMAGTATTGGTAAGTTTTAGCCTCACTGTCCTTCACCTATCTCCAAACACTCATGAACAGGCTCACCCAAATCTCTCTGGTCTGTCCAACAACTACTRTTTCTTCTCTTGATGTAATTTTCCTAAACACAAATACTACTTGTTATAAATAAGCCTACCTACACTGCTAGACCAAAAGATATGAGAGCTCTAATAAATAATGCAATCCATTAGGAATTGGGACTTTGGGATTTTTCTGGCTGCTTCCTTGACCAGCTCTGCAAACCCATTGAGTTCTGATCTCTGGCTTCTTAATGTCATCAAAAGTAGGGCTGATATTTCTATTATCTCACCATGTCTTCTGGATCTTTTCAGTAGCATTGTGAACCTGTGTRATTGCCAGGTCCTACTTCTCCCACTTGCTTTTCACCTCTTGCTCATGATCTTCCACCCTTCAGCTTTCATCCTAAAAGCCTGGGTGTTCATCACATGCTCATTCTGTCTCTTGCTCTCTTCTGTCTAACGAACTGTAATGTCTAATTGTGAGATTCATTACAGGTAACTGGAACTGTACTGCATWGAGAGAAAACAACAGGATTGCTTCAATGCAGCATTTGCTAGTAACGACTGCATTTCTGCAATGTTCTTACTAAGCATTTCAAAATGTATTGCGAATACTAAAACAGCTGTCCAATGCATCTGTAAAGAAGATACTCCACAAACRGATCAAAAATAAGTTTCAGAGATGCTGAGCTTTTGCAACTCTGTTTTAAATAAGCGGGAGTTAAGAAGCGCGTGACACCTGAAAATCAGGCTATAATTTGCCTGAAGGCATAAAACTCATAAAACTGTTCATATCCAGTTTGATGACTCAGTCAGGAAAGTGTTCTTTGATTTGAAACAACTACTTGAAAGCCAGTGTAGAAAGCTGGTTTGTGGGTCTTCAAACATACTCTGAAATCACAACAGCTGCTGTAAAGGTAAAGGCTGAAACTGTAAATCAAATGTTTTTGATTGGTTTCATGACTTTGATACTTTTCCTTATCTAATTGAATAAAAAGTCAGCTCAAGTAGGCAGAGGGGGAAAAAACAGTATTGTAATGTTAGGTTGTTTTGCTTTTTCTCTTGCAAAGACCATGTTTCAAATAGCAAATGTCCCACCACAATTGTACACCTTGTGTCTAATGTGTGCAACTTATATTACTACTGAGCTCTTTTATGCATGTATATATACACACACGTATGTGTATATATGCATACACGTATGTGTATATATGCATATACGTGTATATATATGTACAAAATACACAATATATATAAAATATATACACGTGTGTATGTGTTTGTGTATGTGTCTGTGTATGTATATAGTCATTGTTATGAATCCAGGAGGAATTCAGCTGAACATAAACAGACTACAGTAATTTAAGCAGGGAGGAAGCCAGATGTGAGGACTTGATAGATCCAGATTTGTGAAAATCTGCCAGGGGTTATGTCATTGCACAGCTAGGCAGAGCTTTGTGTGCATCCACTGCAATTTCTGTAGAGTATAAAGGAAGTTATTTTCACTGCAYCAAATTCCTTTAGCTGAGGTATTTGCCCATCCTCCTTCAGAGGGAGAGTGCCATCTACTGAAGCATTCCTTTACACAGCTCCCTTGAGCCTTGTCCCACTCATGGATTGACAAAATCCATTCAAAGAGGTTGTAAAACTGTACAGGGTTTTAAAAGGAAAAGCAGCTGCTAYAGATGTGAATCTCTGTTGTAAAGCACCAGCTGCACATAAAGAACCAGGCCAACGATGGTAAATACAGGCACTGACTTGTGCAAGCCTCTGCTCCAGCTTTTGAAGAGATTAAAAACAACCTTTCTCTGRGTTTCTTCATTCTTAATAAATCCTTGGAACTGAGATTACATYACCATTTTGTAACCCTTAGGAGCAGCAATCCCTGATGGGACAATCCAATTTGAATGCTGACTATCAACCACGAACTTTCCTACTCATTCCTCCTTTCTGTGTTAATGCTCACAAGATGTACAGCTACTCAGCCAACTCGCTGAATAGTGAGAACACCTGGTAACAGTCACCAAGAGTCTGACTCGGGCCAGTGATGATACAGTCGTATTATGCTGCTTTGTCTTTATGCATTTTCCCACTGTTTGGAGCTTTACACTTTGTTGTAAATTTTCTGGACTGTTGCTGTGTTCAAATAAAGCAGCAGTTTGTRTCATGCGCAGCACTACTGTCTTCTAATAATCAGCACATAAATGGAATTATTTTTAATATTTTTTATTGCTTTGTAGCAAAAGATAGAGCTTCTAAAGCAGCAAAGGCAGCTCAGAGGTGCCCATGTACCTTAACGGTTTGAACAAATTGTATGAAAAGAAACCTAAATTTTACACGGTAAATTACCACACAAAGTCAGGGAATCAGAGGGAGGGAGACCTGACAGATTATGTTTCATATGAATACCCTTAGAAAACCACTGGYGTGATGTGTTTCAAAAGCACAGGTGGATGTCCTGATGTTTCTGCTACCAAGGGGCTCCACTGAAGAGTCACATAGCCCATAGCTCAAACATGATGTTTGACAAGACAAGGAGTGAGCAAAACTTTGAAAGAGCTTGCATTATTTGTGACTAAGCAAATATGTTTGAAAAACTTTATATTCTCAAAAAGTTTGTTTTTTCCTATCTGAGCACATATTATTGTCTCAAATACAATGGAGAACTGAAAGAGTAGAAGTCTTTTTGACCCAGGTAAGATACATACCATGGACCTTATGTTGGCTTATGTTCCATAAATCTTTGTTGGTGCCAGTTGGATTGAGCACATCCTCAGAAAGTTTATCAACACCACCAAATTGAGCAGTGTGGTCAACACACTGGAGGGAAGGAATGCCATCCCAAGGGAGTAGGAAGGCTTGAGGTGGGCCTGTGTGAACTTCATGAAGTTCAGATCAGGACAATCCCAATCCCAAACATAGGCTGGCAGAGAATGGCTCGAGAACAGTCCTGAAGAGAAACACTTGGGGTTGCTGATGGAAGAGAGGCTGGACATGAGCTGGCAATGTGAGCTCACAGTACAGAAAGCCAATCATGTTCTGTGCTGCATCCAAAACAGCATGGCCTGTAGGGTGATTCTGCACCCTTACTCTGCTCTGCTGAGTCCCCGCTGGGAGGGCTGCATCCAGCACTGGGGGCCCAACACAACAAGGACATGGACCGGTTCGAGCACATCTAGAGGCCTGTCACAAAGAGGAGCAGAAGGCTGGAGCACTGCWCCTAGGAAGACAGGCTGACAGAGCTGGGGTTGCTCACTCAGGAGAGCAGAACTCCAAAGAGATCTTACAGCAACCTTCCACTACCTAGGGGCAAAGGCCTATATGAGGGACAGAGTGACTTCTTACAAGGGTATGTAGTGGCAGGACAAGGGGCAATGGCTTTAAGCTGAAAGAARGTAGGTTTAGATACTATAAGGGAATTCTTACTGAGACTGGTGAAGCACTGGCACAGGTTGCCCAGAGAAGCTGTGGATGMCCCATCTCTGGAAGTGTTCAAGGCCAGACTGGATGGGGTTTTGAGCAACCTAGTCTACTGGAAGGTGTCCCAGCATGAGCAATTCTCAGAACCATTAAGAAATATGAGGAGATGTGTTAAATGCAGCCAAATCTCATGACAGTTCTGAAAACCTTATAGGCCTTGGCAAATTGTCTTCTCTCACAGGTTCATTATCACAGATCAAGGAGCCTCATCATCAATAGTGCCTTACTGTTGGTTACAGCAAAAGCCGTAGCACGTGYGCTGCACTTGAGGTAGACATTCATTACCGCCACCTCTGCAGAAAAGAAGACCTTAAAAGGAGAGAGGGATTTGTTTCTCTCTAGGCCAGGCTGTTCATCAGTTAACCATAACCACACTGTTTTCATTTCAGAGCCATCTACTCATTGGTTGCTGCTTCCATAGACGGCTACAGTTCAAAAAAATAATAGCCAAAATAAACAGATTGAACCAGTGCATCACTTTCTCTACACATGAAACAGCAACCAGCTGTTGCAATTGTCTGTTTCCCATTTTACACGCCTATTTCTTCCATCAGTTGCTTTTGGTTGCCTTACAGTCAGTTTCCAGAATCTAAAAACCTCACATTAAAATGGTTTATGTTCGTCTCTTCCCTTTTTTTTTTTTTTTAATAGTGATTTCGTTTTTGTTTTTTGCCTCAGAAATAACAGACAGTAGCCTGTTAAAAAAAAAAAATAAATCAGATTCCAGCATCCTGAATTGCTCCTCAACACTTTCAGGTAAATGGCGTGATTCTTGGGGTGTCCTGTGCACGGCTAAGAGTTGGACTCCTTTCCAACTCATAATAA